GTGTTAAAGGCCCACAGACGAGAACCAGAGCTGGTATGAAGCAATACAATGTCGGAGCTCCATGGGAGAGGATAGCCGTTGACAAGCTGGACCATTTCCGTTAACAGAAAAAGGAAATAAGTACATTGGTTTTATGGATTACTTTACGAAGTGGCCCGAAGTGTTCGCTATTCCCAATCAAGAGGCAGTTACAGTAGTGAGATATTTGTAAATGACGTATTCTCTAGATTCGAGTACCCTTAGAGTCTAGAGATTCACAGTGATCAGGGGAGAAATTTTGAGTCTTTATTGTTTCAAGAAGTATGCCGACTAATGGGAATTCATAGACGCGGACTACTCCATTCACCCAAGTCAGATGGAATGGTGGAAGCTTTAATCAAACCTTGGAAAGGCACTTGGCAAAACTGGTGGACAGCCATCAAAAGACGGGACAAGTATATTCCATTATTTTTAAGTCATACCGGTCTGCGGTTCATGAAACCACGAATGTTACACCTGCTTTAGCCATGTTTGGGAGACAACTTAGATTACCAGCAGACATTGTAACGGGACGACCAACTGACACCCCGAGAGTGTTACAGAATATGCTGCGGATTTGCGTAATAAACTGCATGAAATCCATGAACACGTACGAGGCATCACAAAGCAAAATAAGTGAGACTACGAAGATTAGGTATGACAGAAAGACGAATCGCATAGAAATTAAAGAAGGCTCGCAAGTATGTCTCCATAATCCAACAAAACGCAAAGGCAAATCACCAGCTTCAAGCTGACTGGGATGGTCCATACACGATAATCACGAAGATTAATGACGTTACTTACCGGATAAAGAAAATGAGTGTTTAAGAAGCAAACCGAAAGTCGTTCACATAAATCGATTGGCTCCCTATAAAGGAAGTAATGATGCTCGGGACGAGCATGTCTAAGGAGGGGTAGTGTTACGAAGACGGGTCGACTGCAATGTTTTTAGATTTTTTCACTACTTAGAGAACTTTTTCAGCAGGCTGAAATGTGATTTTGACCGTTTCAGGAGGGTCAACCACATATTAGAAAATCGCAATTTACAAGTTACCCTAGTTTTCAGGAGCCTGAAACATTTTTTCAGGCCGTTTCAGAACACGTGAGTCGAATGATACATTTTTCAGGAAACCCGTTTTCAGGCGTTTTCAGGCCTGGTTATACCCCTTTGACGAAGGAATGTTCTAGAACGAATTTTCTAGGTGTGGGACAAGGACGGGACGATACGGAGAGAGAGGGAAGATCGGAACCTTCTCGAAGCTAGACCGAGCACTCTAGAACGCCGTACGACAAGGACGGAGCAATGTGCGAAAGAGATAGCTAGTACGCACGTTCTAGAATTGTGCGATCGTTAGTTGCACTGCCGCCTAGAGAGTTTCGAACATGCTCCCAGGGATATATAAGCGAGCCGAAACGCGACCGATTAGTTCAGTTTTGAATGCGATACCAAGCGATAAACACCGGAGTGACAAAGTGCGAATAAGTGAAGAAAAGTGATGAGTACTGTGGTTATTAGAGTAATTAGTGACAGTGTTTTGTGTGTGTATTTAGTGAATTTTTGTGCGTAATTTCCAGTTTTTAGGTTAACAAATTCCTCGTAGATTTAATTGAAAATAAACCCTTGAAGGATTTACGGCGTTTCTATCCGATCCCCTAGCTCTATCGTATCGTCAAAAATCCTTTGTTAGGGCTCTATACCCTATTAAAAAGGGTTCAAACTAAGAAACTTTTATAAGATACATCAAAAGCCGGCACGAAAGCATGTCCTTTCCTGTAATAATATGTTTAATAAAAAATGTATATTCAGAGTTTAAGTAGTTTTTCCTCGTATCCCTGGCAGATTGACAGAACGCATGCGAAGACCTTGGGAAAGTTCGGTCGATATAAGCGTGATTCACAAGTCATTGAGGTTTTCTTGTTTGGCATTCACAGCTTCTTAAACAATATTTTATTTAATATCCGGTTAGATTCACTTCTAACCCTCACAGCCCACCATCGACTACCACGCCGTAATCATTATTAAGGTTTCGCTTGCGTTAATAATTTACTTGATAGGAAAAGGTTCTTCAAATGTGTCTAAAACGGTAGCTTAGTGTATAGGATCAAAGGATTGTGGTCAACGTAATAAAAAATAAATCAGTGGCACTTTTTAAGTCTGGGCCTCAGTTTGATCATGATCACTTGTCAATCTAATAGGCAAACCGGTGATCATCCTCCTGAGCCTGAAACACGCCGTCGACTTTTTGGGTCTAAGGCAAACCGATTTCCTCACGATGGCTTCCTTCACCGTTCGAGCGCACGTTGAAACCACTAGGCCAACTGCTCTTACTCAACTGCTATTTTACTGCTCAACGTAATAACTACGCCAAAAGCGTGGGATACATTTAAACTTGCACTTAGACGCCCATTCGCTTGTGCCCGCCCGTTTTGCGTTTAGTCCTGGCTAATTGAGCCACCCCAGCTCCTTCCAGAAGCTCAGAAGTTTCACAGACCGACCTCACTGCTCCGAGGATTTTTGTTCGTTGAGAAGCCACAGCCGTTGGTGACTGATTCCTCTGCGCTGAAACGGCCTCTCCACAAGGGACAACGTTATGACATTACATATTGTAAAATTGGTTAATTATTGATTGCTGAATCATATTATAGGCAATTCTTATATTATTTTGTCACTACATCATCACTTTATTATAATATATTATGTATTACATTATCAAATTAATATAATGTTTCACTCAAATAATCATTAATATTTTTTTCCAAAAGTAGTGTATTAAATCGATTTATGAAAACTTTAGTACTCTTTAAATGTTTTTGGTAAATTATTATAAACCTTGATTGCCGTTATCACATGAATATAAAAGGCGGTATTAATCAACTCAATAAACCAAGAAAGTCATGTACGAGACTCGTATAAGAAATATTGTTTTCTTTGCGTCTTAATAAATGTCTCTTTCTTTCAAAAATCAACCTAAATGGACGATCTCGTTGGACATTGACCTTTCAATATATGAGCATAAGGATGTATTGATTGTTGTAATTTCGGCGCCCTTTTTAAAGTTTGTTTACCCTCGAATGTAGTCAAGCAAACTCGGATTTATCGTCGATCGTAATTATCTTTTTATTGAGCAATTTCCAATTTGATGACCTTCAACTATTTGACCCTCGATGCTATAGGGCTGCAACAAACATAGAGGAAAGTCAGATTTCAAAACTGCAACTTAACTTATAGAAAAATTGTGGTAACTAAACATTTCAATTCAGTATAATCTTTCTTTTATGGTATTTTCTTTGAAACGCATGATGCATACATTAATAAATAATATAATTGTGCATTTAATGTTTTTTGTGATACTAATTACTGACTGTAATACAGAAAAAGCTGGGCAACCATTGGTATAAATCTAAATATTTCAATTTATTTGAAGTCGTATTAAATTTCTATACGCTTTACAGCTATGTTTGAATGACATTTAAGTACCTTTTTATAATATAAAATAATTGAAATATGTATATGTACTTAAAACGCTGTGTGTCTTACAAATTCTAACATCTTTTGTACAGCCCTACCGGCGCCCTCGTTACAAATTATAGCAAACTGGCAAATCGCAACCCTCACCCTGAAGTTTCCCTCATTTTCTGACAGATATAATACGCCTTTGGGAGTGTTATAAAGCACTTATATACTATACAATACAGTAAATTCAGCCTGTCTGGAATATATGCCTAGAAATGTTACCTTATTTGGCTGCGTTAAATAAATAAAGTATTCACATAGCTTTTAAACTAAAGTTTTTAACCTCTTCGCGCGGACTTGCTTTAGGTTAAAATAATGAATTTGTACTGGTATTGTGACTACAATTGAAAATGGGTCAGATAATAGTGCTTATGCCAACTTTCAGTTCCTAGAAGCTGCTTGTCAGCGGCCAAAGACCTTGGAAGTCTTTGTCTTGTTAACAATAATTATATTATTACTGATTATTAATATTATATATGTCGGCCAAATTGATGCGTGTGAAACTGTGGGGCAAATGTAGTTATTGCTGGTAATTAGGATCTTTTTTCTCCTTAACAATAAGATTAGAGTTGGTAGTGACTGACAGTGAAATGGTAAAAACGTATTTGTTTTAAATACACGAGAAGGTGTTAATAAATAATTTTAATTCTGAATTACTCCTTGGTTCGCCATAGATACATAGGATTATTCGGCACTATCGAAGACAATTTAAGTGCATTTTTAATATTTTCAAATTAATACATAGATCTACATTTATCAATAGTTTTGAGTAAAAGCATTTTTTTAAACTTTAAATTTTAAGTTAACTTGTAAATGTAATTTTATAAAATTTTCCTAACATAAGGGCTTTTGTAGTAATAATAATTATTGTTGTAAAGGTTGATATATGATCAAGTAACTATTATTGTTTTTACTTGTCTTTAAATATAAATAAATAATTAAAACAATTTTTTTTAATGAAAGTATAATTTATACTATAATTAATATAATTATATCTCGTATACGGGTGTTTCACGCAATATCATATAAAATGTAAATTAATACATACTAGTAGCATCTGTTGGCGAGTAGATATAAATGTAACTACTCTGTCATTGTGGTTTCGTACCTACCGACATCTAGTGTTTCGCCAGTTTATCGTAAGTCCACTAAGAACCAGTGAATCATAATCAGACTATGAAATTAATTTATACATATCAATTGATCTACATTATTATTACCAATACGAGGTTATGTTGTTATTTTATTATTAAAATTAATTTTTTTCATATTATTGCTCATGGTCTACGAACACAGACTATGAATATACAAGTAGTAAAAACTGTTGTCTTTGGCTAACTCTAATCTGACAGTGACAGTTGATGTCCACATCCGGCCCACGAAGTGGAAAAGAGTTCTTTTTCACGCGTACGCCATTGTTGGCGTATGGTAGTTTATATTATTAAAAGGAAATCATAAACCATCCAATATGGTGAGTATGGAAAATGATAATCGTGAAAAGAAAAGTGTAGCGAAATAACAGTGCTGTTAATTAGCGAGTATATTTTGGTGTAATTTGTGATAAAATTAGTTTTTAAACATCGTTTCATCACGTCGGACTTCTTTGTATTGGGGTGACGTTTTCAGTGTTCCAAGTGAAGTGTTGTGAAAAAACTTAGCATCGTTTAACCACCCCGGAAATAATTATTAGCCTATTTAAAACATGATTTCGAGAAGTGCGTTTGAAAATTGAAAATTGGTTTATTGTTTTGCTCTAAGATGAACATGTTCAGGATATTAAGTGAGCTTTTGGTTTGTGCAGGTGAATTTCACAGTAGACGAAATCCGTGGGATGATGGACAAGAAGCGGAATATCCGAAACATGTCCGTGATAGCCCACGTCGACCACGGCAAGTCTACACTGACAGACTCGCTGGTATCAAAAGCCGGTATCATTGCTGGTGCAAGGGCCGGCGAGACACGATTCACGGACACCCGTAAAGATGAACAGGACAGATGTATCACCATCAAATCTACGTAAGATGCACTATCATGCAATATGGTTGCACTTTCACTCTAACCTAAAAATGTCAAATTATTATCTAAACTCATTGAAATCTCTAAATAACTTAAAAAGGCACGGTTTGAAGTTTAACAGCAGAGATTTCATAGCACAACAATGAACTTTATTCATGCAATAATTTCCATAATGTTATTTCAACTTATTTTCAATTATTAAGAATGTCATATTGTAACAAATGTCTTACCTTTTTCTTATAGTTTACTTTTCTATGATGAATGTTCTTACCATTAAAAATCTGAATTAATTTGAAGATTTTTTAGAACGGCCATCTGATGTCATTACACTATCATATTAACATTTGTTTTTTATTTCGAAGTTACTAACTGGTCTAACATTCTTAGGGCCATATCTATGTACTTCGAGCTTGAAGAGAAAGATTTGGTATTCATCACAAACCCTGACCAGCGTGAAAAGAGTGAAAAGGGTTTCTTAATCAACTTGATTGACTCACCTGGACACGTTGACTTCTCTTCTGAGGTGACAGCTGCCCTCCGTGTAACCGATGGTGCCTTGGTTGTAGTAGACTGTGTTTCTGGTAAGCACTTTCACTTGATTCAATAAAAATTTATTGAAATACTTCATACTCAACAATCATATGCAAAACTCTGCTGGTTTTTGTGAAGTCTTTGAACATATTTATTAAAGATATAATTTTAATATATATATAAATATATTTTTTAATGAAACAGGTTTTACCTTGAAATAATGATTATCTTCTTTGTCTAGGTGTGTGTGTTCAAACTGAGACTGTACTCCGTCAAGCTATTGCCGAGCGTATTAAGCCAATTTTGTTCATGAACAAGATGGACCGTGCCCTCTTGGAGTTGCAACTTGAGGCTGAGGAGTTGTACCAGACTTTCCAGCGTATTGTAGAAAATGTTAACGTTATTATTGCCACTTACAATGATGATGGTGGCCCAATGGGTAAGTCTATAACGTTAGTTATTAATGACTTGCAGTTTTCCCATATTAAATATATAGTTAATAAGGTATCATACTTATTATTGGAAATCTACCAAAGATAACATTGATGGTTGCACACATGAATGGCAGTATCATCATGATTGTGATTTACATTCAAGTACAACCTAGTCATTTGAATATTATCGTTATAAGATGATTATATGCTTGTGTATACTGGGACACTGCCTGTGGTTCAGTGATCTAACTGGATAATGAAGAATGAGGATCATCTGGTAATATAACAAGTTGAGGGTAGGGAATTAAAGATAGATATGGATGGTTATTGCTGTCTAATTGATGTTGTGATTATTGCTGTCTAATTGATGTTGTGGATTAAAAATTGTTTTCTTGTGACTTTATATTTTATTTGGGAATGATTTCTAATTTTTAAGGGCTTTCGGAAACGCAAACGTCAAATAAGGTAGGAAATATTAGGAATCAACAACATCAAATACATATTGAGTTGTTTGGGTTGCAATGTTACTAAAGGCTTGATCATTACCTAATAGAAAAACATTCAGTTAATAAGATAAAGCTGTCTGTCCATTCTTCACTTTGCTTAAGAATTCAAAAATATATTCAGACTGGGTTTTTACTAATCTTTTTTACGAAACTTGTACGAATTTAATATTAATATATTGTATATTATATTTATCATAGAAAAAAATATATAACAAGTAACTTGTAAATGATACATATTATCCATCAGCATATTTTAAGTTAGTATGTAAACTGGTTTATGGTTAGTTTAATAATGCATGTCATTGACCTGACATTGAGATCGTTAAAAATTATCAAATTGTGACGTCATCATGCACGTGTGGTAAACTGTTACTTCACGTGGATTGATACTGACAAATAATGATTAAATAATCCAAGCAATGGTGCAGATTTAATCTAAGGAGAAATATTAATATTTCAAATTATTCTTTCTTTTATTAGCAACTTTTGTACCCTTTACGTTAGGTAAAAAAACCAAACGAGTTTATTAATTAGACATGTAATTTTTTAAAGTTTATGATTGATTACATACTTTCCATAAAAAGGTATTATTAAAGTAACAGATAATGTTTTAAAATGGAAACTACAACAACAATAATTTAGATTTATTTATAAAATTTGCCCGATTATTTAATTAAAAACGACGCAAGTTGTATGACACACATTTAGTGACATGAGTTAACAATTAATTTTCCATCACCAGGTGAGGTCCGCGTTGACCCTAGCAAGGGATCAGTAGGTTTCGGTTCTGGTCTTCACGGCTGGGCCTTCACACTCAAACAGTTCTCTGAAATGTACGCCGACAAATTCAAGATCGACCTTGTCAAGCTTATGAACAGGTAATATTGCCAAAGTAAGCATTTAAATAAATAAGGCAATTATGAAATTGAATGTTTTGTATTTTAAAGGCTTTATACTTTTGTATCCGTATAGAAGAAAAATCATCACGAAATATAATACATTACGCATCGAGAGAAATGAATCTTCGTCCACTTTCAATATTACGTTTAATACACATGTTTACGTAATTACTATAAAGGACAAGAACTAGTTTTTATTTCATAATTTTAAACACTAACGAAATGTCTTTAGCAAGTTTAATCTTAAAAACATTTAAAAAATTATATGTTTATATTATATATAACTTAACATATTATGCATGCCGAAACTTAATCGCCGTATTGAGCAAACTTGACAATTTATAAAATAAGCTTTTGACACAATGTACGCCAAGCTTTTCCACAAACGCTCATATAAAAATGCGGCTAGCTGCAAGCAATCAATACTTTCGTCGTTCGTAGCTTGGATTATGCAACTAACTTCTAGTAACGTAACAGATGAAATAAATTTTCATTTAATTACATTTTCATTTTTCTGAAATGACAAATATTAACAATCAACTAATTGTATAAAGCATCATTAAAAAAAACAGTTATTGATGCGATACTATGCTTAGTATAAACTAACGAATTATAATATTTTACCCTAAAAACAAATTTTATTGATAAGCCGTTAAATGCTTTTCTTGGAAAAATTATGCTGTACTAAGTTTAGACATTGTACACGCATTTTATTGGCTCATGAACTTCAATATGGATGAAATAAACATTAAATATCAATTAAGTTAAAAAACCTTTTTGAACCGTCCTATTGATACTGGGTTAAGTTTATAATGCTATACACCAGTGGCAGACCAGGGCGGATATTGAGATCTCAGCTTGGATTGGTAAGGCATTCTTCATGGATGTTTTGCAACTAGTACTGAGATACAGATACTTTCTACTAAGAAAAACAAAAGGCTTCTCACAGAATATTTTTATTTGCGTTCATGCCTTCTATTTATAAATACACTCTTAATTTTAAAATTATTTATGTAGGCTATGGGGAGAAAACTTCTTCAATGCAAAAACAAAGAAATGGGCAAAGCAAAAGGACGGCGACAACAAGCGTTCATTCTGTATGTATGTGTTGGACCCTATCTACAAGGTGTTCAGCGCTATTATGAACTTCCGTAAGGAAGAGATCGATAGTCTGCTCACGAAGATCGGAGTCACCCTCAAGCACGAGGACTCTGACAAGGACGGAAAGGCTTTATTGAAGGTAATATTTTCGTATGCTTAATACTGTGCTCGTAGTCCCAAGTGTTGCCAGTTGATTGTTATAAACTTCTGGGTGTCAAAGAGGACTTACAGCAATTCTTTCCGGAATTGGCCATATGCTCTCCATAGCTTATGACCCCAAAAATGATTGATACATTTTTGTTATCTTATTGTACTTTAAACTTCAAGAATTTAATCTTAAAATTCCTGGGTGTTTATTTATTTTTTGCGTTCTCGTGCAGGTTGTCATGCGTAGCTGGCTGCCAGCTGGTGAAGCTCTACTTCAGATGATTGCCATCCACTTGCCTTCCCCTGTAGTCGCCCAGAAATACCGTATGGAGATGTTGTACGAGGGACCTCACGACGACGAGGCCGCTCTTGGTGTCAAGGTATGAAGAAAGTTCAGTTATTAAATAGTATTGTATTTTTAATATTATACTTAAAATAAATATACTTGTGTTAAAACAAAAATTAAATTAGTAAGCATGTCTTAGAACTGTGACCCTGAAGCACCCCTGATGATGTACGTGAGCAAAATGGTACCGACATCTGACAAGGGACGTTTCTACGCCTTCGGACGTGTTTTCTCCGGAAAAGTAGCGACCGGACAGAAGGCGCGTATCATGGGACCCAACTACCAGCCCGGCAAGAAAGAGGTAAGTCATGAAATTACAAACGATTTATTTTAGCCCATTTTTTTGCTATTGATTTATTATAATGTGACTGTTATTTAATACATATGGTGTTATTATCTATCTCAGGACCTGTACGAGAAGACCATCCAGCGTACCATTCTCATGATGGGTCGTTACGTCGAAGCTATCGAAGATGTTCCCTGTGGTAACATTTGTGGTCTGGTAGGAGTTGACCAGTTCCTTGTCAAGACTGGTACCATTACCACCTTCAAGAACGCCCACAACATGAAGGTAAGAATAAACATTTGTTTAAAGTGAATTTTTCATAGCAAGTGAAAATTTGTAAGTAAAGTCCCAAGTGTTGCCAGTTGATTAATATAACCTTCTGGGTGTCAAAGAGGACTGACAGTAAGTCTTTCCGGAATTGGTCATATGCTTCCATAGCTTATGACCCCAAAAATGACTGATACATGCACTCTAACAACAGGCGTCTTTTAGTTTGATTTAGAAAGTATGAGCTTAATTATTATATTATATATTTTTTTATCAATAAGTATTCAAAAAAATTTATAACTTAGTTTCACTATAATATTTTTTCTGTTAACAGGTCATGAAATTCAGTGTCTCGCCTGTAGTGCGCGTGGCTGTTGAGCCCAAGAACCCCGCCGATCTTCCCAAGCTAGTGGAAGGCCTTAAGCGTTTGGCCAAATCCGACCCTATGGTGCAGTGCATTAATGAGGAGTCCGGTGAACACATTGTGGCCGGTGCTGGAGAACTTCATCTTGAGATCTGTCTTAAGGTATGTATTTGATTAATCATGTTGTATTATGTATGAGTAAGGTATCTAGGTGATATTAATGTGACCAATATATTTCTTTTGTTAGGACTTAGAAGAAGACCACGCATGCATTCCAATCAAGAAATCCGACCCTGTGGTGTCATACCGTGAGACAGTGGGTGAAGAGTCCAACCAAATGTGCCTGTCCAAGTCTCCCAACAAGCACAACCGTCTGTTCATGAGGGCCTGCCCCATGCCTGATGGTCTGCCAGAGGACATCGATGATGTAAGTTTTTTAAACTCTAATATATATTTTGATCACTAGATTAATACATAAGTTACTGTATCATGTGCATTGTTTTCAACGCGTTAAAAAAATGTGAAACACTTCCGACTACCGTGCCGTGCCTTAGCAAGGGCACGTGTATTCGCGTGTCAGGGCATTGAAGGCTACGGCTTTGTGGGAAGGAGATAAAACTCGACTCGCTTGAAACGCTGCACAGGACCTCTATCCTTATGTCCTAGGACTGCATGCTACGGGCGAGAAGATACAAATATTCATAAAATGTAATAAAATTAATGATTCTTGCATAAGCGTATACCATTACGTTAAACTTTTCTCAAGACCATAAATTTCTTTCGCAGGGTAAAGTAAACCCACGTGACGACTTCAAGACCCGTGCGCGTTACCTGACCGAGAAATACGAGTACGACTTGACCGAGGCCCGTAAGATCTGGTGTTTCGGTCCCGAAGGTACCGGCCCTAACCTTCTCGTCGACTGTACGAAGGGAGTTCAATACCTTAATGAAATCAAGGATTCCGTGGTGGCTGGTTTCCAATGGGCGGCCAAGGAGGGAGTCATGGCCGAAGAGAACTTGCGAGGTGTCAGGTTCAACATCTACGATGTCACCCTGCACACCGACGCTATCCACAGGTTTGTTTATTATTTATATCTTGATTGAAATATTTAGTCATATTTTTATCTAATTTCTAAGAAATTTAATAGACCCTCGAAAACTCGCTGGTATAGTATGGTAGTAGTATAGTATTTAAAATTTAAATTTTTCATCAATGTAAACAATACACATTGTAACATTTGGTTTGTTTGATACAGAGGTGGTGGCCAAATCATTCCAACGACAAGAAGATGTCTGTACGCCTGTCTTCTGACTGCTGCTCCGCGTCTTATGGAGCCCGTGTACCTTTGTGAAATTCAGGTAATGCATTCTAACCACGACGCCAATATGCGTTTTTGTCACAGAATTCGCCCTGGATTCAAATTTGAATAAATTTCGTAGTCGTTGCTTACTTTATTTAATGAATCTCAAAAGCAAGTAATACTAAAATGAAAGAAAATCTTCATCCACGTGAATTCCTATGCGGGCGAGAAATGTTAGCTCGTGCGCTTTTCCGACGCGTGGAAAAATAAGAGTTTTGTGTTTTGGCAACGACATCCATACATTCTTTGCCTCAATATAAGAACTAACACTTGTCTAAATCATAACCACCCCGATTGATTATCTCAAAAACTAGGGTTTGTCGTTGCGTAATTGTTGGTTACTCACAAGAATTGGCAGATGACATTAATTGTTATAACGTTTGCAGTGCCCTGAAATAGCCGTGGGTGGAATCTACGGAGTACTCAACCGTCGTCGTGGACACGTATTCGAAGAGTCCCAAGTTGCCGGAACTCCCATGTTCGTCGTGAAGGCCTACCTGCCCGTCAACGAGTCCTTCGGATTCACTGCTGACCTCCGTTCCAACACTGGAGGACAGGCCTTCCCTCAGTGCGTGTTTGACCACTGGCAAATCCTGCCCGGAGACCCAAGCGAGCCTGGATCTAAGCCATACGCAGTTGTACAGGTAACAAATTATAATCTTTTCATTAGAATATGTGTGACTTATATATACTGTCGTAAAATTTCAAAACAATTCAAGTGAAAGAAACCGTTATGGTTATAAGGGACGGGGTAAAAATCAAAACGTGAATTCAAAAATTTTAAAATACTTAAAATAATCCTTCCGACTACCGTGCCGTGCCTTAGCCAGAGCACGTGTTCGCGCGTGTTAGGGCAATGATGGCTACGGCTAAGTTGGAAGGAGATTAACTCGACTCGCTTTAAACGCTGCATAGGACCTCTATCCTTATGTCTTAGGACTGCATGCTACGGGCGAGACGATACACATTAACTTAAAAATAATAATTTTAATACTGTTTTTTTTATTACGAATGCCCGATAAATCCATCTCAACCAAATCATTCTTTGTTTCAGGAAACAAGGAAACGGAAAGGACTCAAGGAAGGTTTACCCGACCTCGCGCAATACTTGGACAAGTTGTAAACGCTTAGCAAACATCAAATACATCAACATTGTACTATATATAACATCCAGTCTACATTTTTATTTGTAAATGAGTTCTCAATAGAAGCTACACGCTGAGCGAACTTTTATTTGTGATATTGTCCAGATATAGCATACCCAGCTAAATGTTGCACCGACACCATTATTATACTGTAATTAATTTTTAAATTATAATTTTTCTATTGTATTTTTGTCTTACTTAAAAAAATTCGCGCAGTATGACACGGTTTATAATTATTAAACTTAAAAGGTGAGTTGCAGTCTTTAACATGTTTTAAATATTGTAAGAAAAGTACTAACTGTTGACTTTGTTTCAGATAAGCGTTTACAAAATGTCAAAAATGTAAGTCTTTATTTGCTTTGTTTTAATTAACACGTAAAGAATATTTTGTGGTTTTTTAATGATGATCAAAACACAGACCTGTTCTGATATGATGAGGACAACCTTATTTTCTTCTGATTTATGCTTATCAAAAAAATCTTTGATAGTAAATGTTTTGTCTAATCAGTATTTTACAAATGCTGTTTTTGTTTCAGGTCAGATGTCATGATTGATGAATAGTTTCTGATAAAAAAGTAAGTATGATAGAATTATAGCAATAAAATTGATTGTAAAAAAGTTATAGCACCTCTTACTTTTAAGGCCACTGGCCTTCTTTTCCGGCCTAGACTTTCGATGTTTCCTTCAGTTAGGAATTATTTGAGAAATGGTTGTTATAAAAATCAGCTTGCTCTTGAATAATATTATGATGATAAATCTATGCCATATGCCAAACATGATGGTTACATAAGCTCAACAGGACTGAGAAAAAAATTTTTGTTTAAAATCATAAAAACGTTACAGGGCAAACATAATATAAGTATTTTTGTTTCTTTACAGATTTTCCATATATCTCAAATGTGTGACAGATGCACCCATTTATACATTAGGTACGTTTATTTAATAAATAGTTACACAATACAAATGCCCATTCTTTTAAGAAGTTTAAGAATGAACAAAATGATGTTAAATTAATGCCAGATGCTCCATGGTGGTTACATAAAGCTCAACAGGACTGAAATATTTAAGAAACTTTAAAAAAAAATTGCGATAGATCCAAATAAGGCAACAATGAAATTTATTTTACAGGTGCCATTAAGTGATGGGACATTTCACATTCTTTACAAACTAAATTGTGAATGGTAAGTTAAGTTGTCTTTTAAAACATGTTTTAAAATTTAAGAGCCTAAATTAGTTGGGCGGTACCTTAATTTAATATAAGACTTAATTAAGCTTTAGTTCACCATTTTCGCTGGTCGGTATATTTTTTTTTTACACCAATTGCTCATCGCATCGATGTTCGTCTCAGCCGGGGATCGAACCCGGGACCCATGGATTCGCAGTCAGGGGTACTAACCACTTGACCAATGAGTCGTCATAATAATTCTAAGATTGACGTTCATATTATAGAGCTCTGAATCGCTTGACCGTAAAACGAACGCGTGTCGATGTTTTACTGAGTAGTAGAACCTACGTTAAACTTGCTGCTACTAAACGTATTCTAATATAATTGCCCTATTAAGTTTTATTGTTTTATTAAATGTTTATATTGTTACAACAATTATGATGATGAATCTTTCACAGACCTGTTCTGAATTTTTTGCGGACAACCTTATTATTTATTTTCTGACTAATGTTATTCTACAAATTAGTCTGTTTACTTCATTAAGTCATTCATAATATTGTTTTTTTGTTGACAGGCATATGGCGTGTCACCACTATGTTTTGATGAATTTTTAACTGAAAATAAAAAATATATTACTCATTCAATAAGTTTAGTTTCAATGAGAATTTCCTTTCCCTTCCTTATATAATAAAAAACGATCTTGTGTTATTAGTATTAATGCTATAAATCTAAAAAGGTATATCTTAATTCCTTATCAGTGATAGTTGATAAGTTATCACCATTGTTACGACTAGGGAACGAAAAGTATAAGGTCAATGGGTCATCAACTCTGGGCTTACCATTCAATTTAATAGTTTTTAAGATGGAGGATAATCCTTTAATAATAGATTTTTTAAATAAAAACGAAACTCTACGAGAGTTTCCTAACGTGAATCTATAACTTGATAGTTGATACCAAGCGATAATGATTAGTGAACAACAACAAGCCACTCTACAATCTTGCCAGTAGCCGTACTATAGCTGTACAGGGCACAGATTACCTAAAAAAAATTGTGTTCTAATGTCAAAAAAGCTGACATATCGCAAATGTAACTTATGTCTAAAATCTAATGTCATATTGTAAACTAAACAGCCAAGGTCACAACATTCAGTTACGCGCATGTTTCTTCCGATAAAATTATTAAATTTCGATTCAGTAATCAGTTCGCTCTCATATTTCATGTGGAATCGTTTGTTCGGCCCCGTGAGGACGTATATTGCAAAAATGCTGCCGGAAGTAGTCTTTGTCTTGGGTGCACCCGGCGCCGGTAAGGGAACTCAGTGTACATTTATATCCAAAGAATTTGGATTTATTCATTTATCGGCTGGCGATTTACTACGAGAGGAGCGACAGAGGCCTGGTTCAGAATATGGTGAAATGATTGAGGAGAAAATTCGCAACGGAGAAATCGTACCAGTTGAGGTTACGTGTTCATTAATTCACAAAGCTATGGAGAAGTCGGGAAAGTCGCGGTTTCTTATTGATGGGTTTCCGCGTAATAAAGACAATTTAGAGGGTTGGGAACGCGTTATGTCCGATAAAACGAAACTTCTATTCGTGTTATTTTTTGAGTGTTCGCGAGATTTGTGCACCGATAGGTGTTTAGGACGTGGCGCTGCTGGCAGCGGGCGTTCTGATGACAATATTGAAAGTTTAAAGAAAAGGTTCAATACATATTTAAATGATACTATGCCCATTATTGATCATTATGACAAACAGGACTTAGTATGCAGGATCAACGCTGAAGTGAGTCCACAAGAAGTATTTGCTGATGTAAAAAAATGTTTCACAGCTTTAGGCATACAAAGTATAGATAAGTAATATTGTTTTAAGTAGGTCAATGCCAATGCGGTACTATTGTTTTTATGACAAAACATTGAGTAGCTTAACTATTCCTCCAAAGAAATAGATTTAATGATTTCATAGACATTGTCAAATTATAAGTGTTCTATATAGTATCAAAATATGTTATCATTGTGACTATTGTAGTAAATATCTAGTGTCTGGCTATTAATAATATTACTTTATATAGTGTTTCTATTACATCTCTTATAGCTATTTGGTCATGCCAAGTGCAAAAAACGATGTATATAATAGATCAATTAACTTCAAGGTAACATAAGTTACATGCATGACTCATTTTGAAGGGAATGCTTAGTGTAGATAACAATTGCTTTAACAGATAAATGCAATCAATTTAAGGGGCAAGGATAACTTGAATTATCATCATTCTACTTTGATATTATTATATTTATTATGCTGTCTTTACTTTTTTAGACTTATTTGATGTATTATATGTAAATAAATAATTAAGTATAGTATGGAATGTTTTATTTAAAAAGTATACATCATAAGAAGCAAAAACATTTATTACCAGAATACACAGTCTTATTCATACATAGGTAAAAGTTAATATGTAACACAATAGAACCCACTCAAACATTGTTGTTTGCAAAAAACACCATGAGATTGTAGAGTATGCATTCATAGAATTATCTGACTGCTTGATTATCATATTATAAACATACCAATTTAACATAGAAGTAGTAAGTACACATTAGTATAAAAGAATACATCAAAAAGTAAAGTAATACATGAGATAACAGTTAATTGAAACTAATTTTGAAAAGTACAACTAAAATCATCGTAGTTTATATTTTCTATGAGTGATAATTAATACAAAAATATTTCTCATAATCGGTATACTGAGTGATTATAAGAGTGCTTATTACTATTCTAAAATAAATAAATTTGTGCAAAGCTAATGAATAACAAGATGATTCAATACTTAATAACTCAACATACATCCATCATATTAGACAAGTATTTGATCAAACCTATATATAATGGCTATTGACATTAATATCAAATCAGAAATTAATATGAAAAAAAAAAAAGATAAATTTCAGTACCTAATGAGAGTTCTAATATCACATGAACATTTTGAAAGTTTCCAGTGGATTTGAAGTTAGTACCAAGTAAATATAAATAGTCTAATAAGATGAAAGATGTATTTAGTCTAGCAAAATAGAAAACAATAAAATCTATTTGTATAACATAAATACAGTCAAAACCGTTTACGACGACATCGTTTAGAACAACATATCAGTTATATTGACCAAAATCAAAGGTCCCGGCTGAATTCTATTGTATTAGGTACCAAATGTGAGTAGTCCATTCAATGTCGTTATAACAGATTTTGACTGTAGTACTATAAATTATAAAGTAATATCATGTTTTTGAAAGTTGTTGCCTTATACAAAAACGCGTTATAATACGTAATACGAGATTTAAATTACCATCGAGATTAAATCCCTGTAAAAATAGGCACTTTTAATAGGTAACAATGTTTATAAATAATTGTTGAATTTCATACGAACTGAAATTCATATGACTAAGTAAACCTGTATAAATAGTACAATAAAAAAACATTTTAATTGATATTAGAAAATGATTTTTCTAATAAAGATGTTTATAGTTTTAGACTTTTATTTTATATCTAATGCTTAAATGCAAACATCACAATTATTAAGCGCTTAGTATTTTTGAATGAAGTGAATAGATACATTAACTAGCATGATCTCCTTTGACACATACTTCAAGCCCATTAATATTATCAGTTTATTATTACTAGCTGTCTGTTCATGACATAATATAATATCCTGTATAAACTAGAGTAATATTGGACTAGCCAGATAGAGCTACCTACAATGGGAGTTGTATCACAGAAATTTCACAAAAACTTGCCTACTATTAAAGACTATTCAGCCATAAAAGCAGTCTAAAAAAAATCACCTCAGTGCTTTAAGCTGCCGAATCCTGCACAGGATCCTGCTCAGGAGCCTGCCCAGCTTGCGCAAATGAAAGGAATACTTCTTCTAGAGTTGTTTCTGTCACTGAATAGTCCTCTATCAGTGGGTTTTGCTCCTTAAGTTTTTCCAGAGCTGAGAACAGTTCGCTGTATGGTATCTCATCATTTATGTGGTATTGGAGCATACTCTGTGAATTCATTTGTACATTAGACATTTTTTGACAAAGAAATCTTTAGGAAAAGGATCTCCATTTTCTCTAAATAACAAAAGTAATGCTAATTTATTAAATTAATAATATATTTTTATTGAAATGAGATTATGAACGCGAATATTTTACATTATTTAACATGTGTCGTGTATTCGAAAAATACGAATGTCATTCTCAATGGCGTATCTAATTGTTCACAATATGACCTTGTAGATACGATTATGTTATGAAAGTGTACTTCTCTACATATTAAACGTGTTTCTTATCTACTTTCTCACTTTTTGCTAATATAATATGGTAGCTTACCTATTCATTACGATTTTTATGAAAGCAAATTGTATTGTTAATGAGAACTATACCTACATATTCAACCGAAAATATGTAAATATAAATTTGTGACTAACACAAAAACAAATAAATTTATTTTGATTCTCCATAGCCTTCGTATTCTAATAGGTAAACCCGTCTCGAGTTCGATTCCCGACGTGACAAAAATAATTTTTGGGTGTTCACATATGTGACAGATTGCCCGCTGATCACAATCTAAAAGAGTGATGAAACAATGCATTTGTTAAAGGAAGAGATTGTTACCTTATGTTCATCCTTGAGAGTACAGTTAAATCGGTCTTGTAGAGCTGCCTTTAGTCTCCTTAAATCGGGTTTCGAACCATCCGTTTCTAAATAAAAAATACATTATTAAAATACATACATTCATACAAAAATATCGGAGTTAAAAATAAGCCATTTTATTATTACGAATTAAATACTAACGCTGTATTATTCAAAACTTAAGTTCATTAAATACAATAAAAATAACCTGAGATTCCTTTTTATTCTTTATATAATTTACCTTGACAATTGACTTTATAAATCAATGCTATTAAATTTATAAAAAAATGCAGTTAAAATCAAGAAATTTTATATTGATTTCCAAGTATAAAAAAACAATTGAATTCTGTGTTATTTCTCAATTTTCTACTATTAATTCTATTTAAAGTAAATTTTATTAGAACGTTTTTATATTCAAACGGATATTACGTCAAAATATATTTATTTATGTAAACTACTACTAACTGGTAATAAGGTGAGGGGTACCGGGTTCGATTCCCGGTTCGAGGGCAAGTTTTAATTTAATTTAAATTTGTTCTCGGCCTTTGGGAGGGTTGTACGGTACCGGGCGAGTGCTTAAACCGTACATGGAGGACACGGTCGAATTTCTAAGGCAAGCACGAATTATAAAAATCTTATACTTGACGCTGGCTAATGCACAAACCGTGCCAGAGCCATAAAAAAAAAACTGGTAATAAACTGCCAGTTTTAATACTAGAGAGAATATTCTAAGAGAAAATTTCCGATTCTTATGAAATTTTTTATGCATACCTATTCAGTAAGTCTGAGAATCGGCTACTATCTATTTTTCATACCCCTAAGTGATAAGGGGTGTCCACCCCAGATATACTTTTTTATTTTTTGGATAATATTTATAATTTTTATTTTTTTATTATGTGGCATTAAAAATACATACAACCCTTTATTTTCACCCCTCTACGATCAACCCCTATTTTTTATTATAGATAGTTATTTTTTTGAACTAAAAGATATTTCCTAGAAATAATATACATGAAACCTGGTTAAGTGAAACCTGTTAAGTGAGACATCAAGGACCTCAATTCTTTCACTTATAGAGTATTCCACTTACCCAGTGTCTCAATATACAGGTATAAATAAATATCTGTCTCATTTACAAGTTCCATTAAAATGAAATAATTATTTCATTATCATTTCAAACATTGTGATTCAATTTTATTTACTCTGAATTATTCTACAAGAGTAGATTTTCACATTAAATTCGGCAAAACTTCTTGGTTCTTCCCACTTTCATAACGGATATTAACCTCATTTTAATAATATAACATTACTTTCTTCTGATTTTTCAAATAAACATCTTATGATAGTAAAGGAAACTAAACTGAAGGTAACTGAACTCAAAATTATGTTAATTAAATAATTTTGGTAGAATAAGAATGAGTAAACAAACAATTTATCTATTAGATTTATATATAAAATTTACTCTGTCTTTATAGATAATAGAGATAAATGAAAGAACAAATCCAGATATAGAGCTTACCTCTTCCCACTAACAGATAATTATCAAGTTTGACCTCACATGATTCCATTATGGAGTTTCTCACTTATCCAGTCCCATTAACCAAGTTTCATTACATGCCAAAACGACGTTTGCCGGGTCAGCTAGTATATATTAGGTCCTTACATATGAAATTGGCGTTTTGTATGGGAGGAACAAAAAGTCGAATATTTTTAAATATAATATTAATATATTTAATTATTCAAAGTATGAACAATTGTTTTCTATGCACTTTTGCCATCTCATAGGTAGTTCATTGATCGTAAAATGAGTGACGCAAACAGAAAATAACAAATGAATGACGGTCATCGAAGCACAAATACATGAGTAAATAGCTGTACAGATTTGGAATTCCTTACCAAAGAGGAGAACATCGTGATTAAAGTGGCCAGTACGAAATACGCCAATTTCATATGTAAGGACCTAATATATACTACAGCTTTTGTTAGTAAATGGTAGCAGTGACGTAGCTACCTTGGGTGACACCCGGTGCGGCAGTTGGTGGTGTCACCCCATCAAAAGTAAAAAGCAATACATTTTACATGATAAAGAACAAAGATCGCGAGTATGGGACGGGGAATCCCCACGACAGCTTCAGGCTCTTTTGCGGGAATCCCCGAATTCTAGATAGAGCTGAGCTAGTGCTAGGAAAAATAAATTTTTATGCTAGCGATTTTTTTTGATTGTTCGTTGTTCTTAAAGTTGAGAGACCGGGTGGATGTCACCCTAAAAAAGGTGACACCCGGTGCGGCCCGTCCCCGCCGCCCCCCCTTTGCTACGCCAATGAATGGTAGTTATCTGCTCTCAGCAGTAACCTATTTCCAGCCTTAATCTCGTAATTTTATACCTGTTTTGTGATATTGTTTATAGGTAAATAAAGTGTTTATTACCGTCAGTAGATGTAGGCATCAGTTTCAGTGTAAGGGCGTGTCCCGCGGCGTGGTTCGCCCTGAGTATGGCCGGTTCGCCCAATGCTCGGATTTCGCCCGCGGACATTATGGCTATACGGTTGCAGAGAGCTTCCATCTCGTCCATACTGTAACAAAATTCAAAATCCTTTATTCATATAGTAATAAAACACAATAAGGCAACAAGAGTGCTTATCCCTACTCCTGTCGCTTAGTCTCAATATCCTAATTTACGGGTCGTACTTGTCCTTCATCTAGTATTTTGGATATATAAATAGCGCTCATGATGTTAATAAAAACTTGGGGGGGTGGGATTATCTCACAGCTATCGGGATTGAAGTAGTCTTCGCCGCTTCGTTTCCTCTAAAGTGTCGTAGGTCTCACCCTCACATATATTTAGCTATCTAGTGCAGCGTGCTCATACAAACACATATATTATTCAGATACTCCTGAAATTTATTAGTTATAAATTTAAACACAAATTTTAGTCGACTTGCTGGCAAGCTGTACATTGGTCCTTCGAGCCGAACTATAGCCATAAAATGTTTCTTAATATAGGAAGTTAGAAAAAGCCTTTGAGAAGGCTTCCTGTAGACTGTAGACATTACATGCGAACCAAGCATTCCCTACTACGATGTAACTGTATCATAATTTGGGATTCATACCTATGCGAAGTAATAATAAGCGCCCGTCGCAACGCAGTTGCGCGTCTCAACGCTGCCCAGACACGTCTTCTCGCGGCAACGTCAACTCCTGCAGTGGGCTCGTCCAACAGAGTCACGGCTGCGTTGCCACATAAAGACGCCGCGGTGGATAGACGGCGCGCGCACCCACCGGAGTACCCGCTGACTGGCTGGTCTGCGTATTTTTCTAGCCCTGGTGGAATTTAATGGCGACGAATTTTAAAAAACATCTGGAGACAATGGAAGAACATTTAGAAGATAGAGAATATTGACGTAATTTATATTTAGTACACAAAAGTAACTTACAGATAAGATTGTGAAGACAATTAATTACAAAAATATTCTCAAATTTACTACAAGCATTTATAAAAGAAATATTCAGGAAAACATATTTATTTAATTTATTATCACCCCTTTTTCCGGAAGCGGTAGACTGAGACCACGGACCTACACTTGCTAAGGTACTGACATACCTCTTTCAATTCATCAACTTTCATGACATTTACCGTGCATGCTCGTCGATTATGGGTATTTTAAACTTAAGGAATTTTTAATTGTAACGTAACTTGTGTAATTCTTGTGTTTCCTTTTCTTTTGTATTGCATCGCTATTCGCTATTCATGAATCTGTGAGATTAGCTTTTAAGTTTGTTATTAATATATTTTTTTTATAACATTTGGTTCTGCACTCATGTTTCTTTTTTTAGTTTTTCTCTTACTAGGGTTGCCTGGAAGAGATCGCTTATTAGCGATAAGGCTGCCCGTTGCATATCTTGTAATTTTTATGTATTGTGTTATTTGTGTTTCTTTTATTTTTATTGCAACGAAGTGTGAATAAATAAATAAATATAAACCTCCAATAAAAAACAATAATGGTAAAATCACGAAAACCTTCTAATGTACTGACCTACGGTATCAATCCAGGAGGCAACTTCATCATGTATATGTTCTTCATCACGGCCTTGTAGCGTCAGCAACAGCGTGAGGTTTTCGCGGCCCGTCAAAAACTCGTCCAAACCGAAGAATTGCGGACAGTACCCCAACGAACGTAAGTACTGAATTTGAGATGGCGGATTAATATATATATTATATATCTTATTGTTGAAAAAAAATTGTTGAAGTGAAGTGCTAAAGATAAAAAATTAACATAGTATCTTCTGTGGAAATAAATCATGTCATATGTCAATAAATCATTATTACATATTTTTAATCTATTTCGTACCTCAGCCCTCGATTTTTCCATGTGATATCCGTTCCCAAATATCCGTCCCCTCGTAGGACATTCGCTTGAGGTTAGCATTTTGAATGTTGTTGATTTCCCCGCACCGTTCACCCCCAAGAGACCGAAACATTCACCTAAAATATTTTATTTCACTTAAAAACATACAAGAAAGCGTCTGATATAGTTATAGGAAAAAACACATTTACGTTAATATAATAATAACACAAAGCAAAATATGTTCTATCTTATAAAACTCCTTCCTATTTGAAAATTTGCTTTACAGTGATGGGGTTTATAGTAAATAAACAAACGATTAATATTAGTTACTATTTAAACAATCCCAATCGATGGAACGATGTACGACAAGGTAAGAAAAGAATGGATAAAATAAAGAATAGGTACATCATTAGGAAAAACAACTAAGGTAGCAAAGGACAAAAAGAGCACACATATATCTAGAAATTATGAGATGATAGATATAAAAATATGTAAAGTATATGAAATATAAGGCTTTTATTATTTTTATATAATTCTGAAATTACACAAATACACATATTGAGACATAAACAGACTGACGAAATTAAAATTCAATATTTGCATTAGACCACGACTAATCTGTTACCGTTGTGTAACGAGATTGGCGCAAAAACCGATGTTTTTGAATAATTATCGATCTAATAAATTAATGCGATTTTCTTTTTCTTAAAGTAATTTAAAAAAAATAGTCATTATATATACCACGTCAAATTTAGAAGATTCAAATGATATATTATCATTTTGCAAAAATGAATGAAAATCTTTGTTTATGTTTTAATACGCATGGTCATAGTCACAGACTACAAAACGGTTAATACAATAGAATGATCAGCCACAGAGTATAGGTAAGAGCAAAGATTGTATAATCAGAAAATGGAATTACTACTATCTTTGTAATCAATAACTTACCTTTTTGGACTGAGAAGCTGATCCCTTTGACAGCATTGCACGACTTCGGGAAACGCAAATATTTCTTGTGTATATCGTCAACCAACATCGCATCGCGGATGTCTCGGGGTGCTGTATCATAAATGTATTTGAATAACGCATAGCTAACATATTCCATCCATGCATGTTGTTCGTTTCCAAAAACAATTAAGCGTAATTATTTTAAGATTAGCAAAAGGAAAAATGCTTAATGAAATAATTGTTTTAATGACCACCTTCCTAACTGGTCTTTAATATGTCAAAAATTATAACATTTTTATAAACCATACTAATATTATGGTAGATAGGTTAGTAACAAAAAAAAAATTAACTTTAATATTTTATAATTAAAATTTAGCTGTGATCTAACCAAAAAATACATAATGCGATCAAGTATGTATTGAAGATGATCAGGGCGGTTCGCGTATCGAAATAAATTTCTTTATAGTCTATGACATAGATTTTTATTCTGTTAAAATTTTAGCGAGATTCGCGCCATTTCATGTTTACATTTAACCAATTATTTTATAACTTTTTTTATTTTTGGTTATTATTATATATAGTGTTAGATTTTTTCTCGGTTATAAGAGAACATTGTTACTAATAATTTAAATTTTTACCATAACCATATTTGCTTATATAATTTTTTTTGTCTAGCGGTTTTTATATAGAAATGATATAAAACTTACGTAAATCAATCGCCTTGTTCACGTAGCACTTTTCAGCGCAAACCAATTGGTCGACATTAGTACTGGTTTCTGGAGAATATCCCGAGTTGAATATTCGATCAATCCAGCACATGAATATACCTTTTTCGCAGGCGATCACTAATGACTGCAAATTTATAAAGTTGGTTAAACAAACAAGTGTTTTTTAGCTCTGGGCTTTATATTTCTGTACCTGTTCGTGATCAAATATTTTTACTGTAGGCAAGTATGTTATCAGTCAGTTATGACTGTATAAATAAAAAATTAAGCATATGGGCATCCAACAATAAGTCACAAAGCGCATTGAGGCACGCACCACTTCCAGGTTACCTGCGTGCACGCACACATACGCGCGGAACAAACAAGACCAGTTTTGTTGTTGCGTGGTGTCAATAAAGTTTCAATAAAAAAAATTGAAATGTAAATATGAGAATTTTAAGATAATTAATATTCTCATATTTTCCTTTATAGAGCGATTGTTAAATGCGTATTTAGAAATTCTCATAAGTTACACGACTAATCTGCAAGATGGACAGCTTTTTTAGCTTCCAATTAGATTGATGGTATTTAAATCTTTCCATTCGTTACATTTAAATAACTTACCATATAAACTATGATTTGCGCAATATAAATTAGCAAGAAGATAAGCGGCGATGTGTCTTCAAAGGAGAAATAGTTCAGGGACTTTTCGTTTAATACTGAAATATAAGATATCAAATGTGAGTCGATAGTCTTTACTGAACCAAAGGCAACATATACACTGTTTATAGTAAAAAAAAAATATGAATTGAATTTATGGTTATACTAAAAGGAACATTTTTTCATCGGATATCGAACTTAGAGGACAGAGTTTACTTTTTTATTATTAAACATTTGAGGCAAATGAGTGGTCGGTTCACCTGATGTTAAGTGATACCGCCGCCCAAAAGACACTCACATTGCCATAGAGCAAGTGCGTTGCCGACTTTGAAAAAATTGGTATACTCGTTTCTTGAAGGACCCTATCTCGGTTTGGCTCGGGAATACTTCTGTATGTAGCTGGTTCTACGAAGTGGTGGTGCGCGGTAAGAACTGCCTTAATAAATGCTCCGTTTTGGAATGTCGGACGTCGAGGTGATACGAGCGCTAAAGGCTAAGCCACCAAAGAAATTTATTTCTATTGATATAATATCAGTATAAAATAGGTACACGTTAGTCTCTACTAGAAGTAGTTTTGTGAATGAGACGTTGCCGGACTTACCACAACATTTATTGACATCGAAGTTTAAATCTGGAACTACTAGATTCGGGCATTTGTCCTTATTAAGATCACAATACGCGTTCACGCGTGCGACGTTGCCGGCCCGCTTTACTGCCATTGCGAACGTATGACACGGCATCGTATAGGAAATAAATGTTAGGATGATGTTTGCATAACCCGGTACAGCGTCTTCAAAGAATTCAGCTCCGGACTGTATCGCTGGTGTGATAACTCCTGAAATTGTTTGCTAAATATATAGTCGTAGTAACAAAGACATTGCGCCTACTGAATGCTGTCTCCGACACTATCGACATCTTTATGAGTTCATACTGTGGGTTCACAGTAGATGTTGTGTATTTTATGAATTTAATGTTATATATTTAATTTTTTTCGACATTGGACTAGTACTGTAAGGATAGTGTATGTATTTAAGGGCCGATTCGACCAAACAAGAGTAAATCTTAATCTTAGAATAAATCGTCAGTTAATCGAGAGTAAATCAATTTTACGTTTTACCAACTACAAATTCTAAGAATAGTGGGCTTATTCGGGAATAGCTACTATACCGCCGTTTCGCACGGAATAACAGCTATTCCTAGAATAATTTAATGGCGTCAGTCAGTCCAATCAGCTGATTTCTGTCATTTCACAAATATGTATTCTGTGTTTTAATTTCAAGTCAACACAACGCACTAAATTAATAGTCTGGCATTGTATAATGAAACGTTTAAAACAATTTATTATTTATTTATTTATTTTTTTTTTTTAGATTTTTTATTTTCTATAATATTAGAATGAAATTCAACTAGGCTCAACAGAAGTTCCTTTTTAGACGAAAGCCTCAAACAAACAAGAAATAAAAACTTTTTGTTGTCGTTTGACACCCGTTAAAAGCTACTTTTTCACTCTATAATACGGCAAAATCGAGTTGACATGATGTATGCTCTTACACTGTCCCGTTGTAGAACAACATTTATTTGCCGAGTTTTATTTTCGTTCACCATTCTCTTGCTATTCGCGTATTGTTATTCCTAGCGCAATTATACTATCGATTACGTGGACAAACGACTATGGATTTACTCGAGATTAAAATCATGGAATAGATTATTCTTGGTATAGTTACTCGTGTATAAATTGAAGTTTGGTCGAATCGACCCTTAATAACTTAAAACGGTAATTCGGTGGCGGTATAATATTGTTCACATTTTATTTACGCTTTTAATTATTAACCAAATTATATATATGTAACTTAACTAATGTTAGATAACAAACTAGATTAATTTTATTTTTAATGTTCAATTTACACAATACGGGATTACCATTAAACAATTGTATACTATTAAGTTTATAATTTTTTAAATTATTTTTACGGGAATTTGGCTCAACAAATCTCGACATTATTTAAAAACTCCGGTTGAAAATATTTATTGAAGAACAATACTTACCAAAAATAAACAGAAACGCGACAAGAATGACACCGGCTGCGCGATCTGAGAAGAAAAAGCTCACGAAAAAGATAAAACACAGGAACGAAACCACACTCAGGAACATTATCAGGAACAGTGTACCTGTAACAAGAAAAGTGTTGGTCTAGTCTAGGCTTCAATGGGCCACTCTCATACCTGAGGTCGCAAGTTCATGGCGCTACAGCCTTTTAAGTCTGGGCCTCAGATTTGTGTATCTGTTCCGCGATCATTTTTAATAGGCAAGTAAACACTAAATTTTCATTCCGTAGAATTCTGACATTTCATAAGTGTTGCTACTAAAAAAGTTCTCCGCCGAAAAAGGGACAAATTTAACACATTTGAGGGCAATAAAAAATAAAATGCTACGTATTTTTTAATTTTAACCTACAAACAGGTAAATCTAAACTTATCACTTGAGTAAGTAATACAAAAATAACAAATATTTCAATATCACGAACAATATATCGAATTAACTTTATTTTATTCTGTAGCTGGCATCACTGCCTACTAATTCCAGGCTCAGTAAACCTTTTTAAAAAATAAAATGTTATCATTCTTGTGCGTTTTTTATTGCTTGTGATGAAAGGGACGTAATCATAACTCGCCGTAAAACCACTTTTAATGTGGAGCACCGCACTAAATAAAATGGATACATTAACTAACAATAAAATGTATGTAGATATATAGACTCAGATGTTCAGACTCGTATTGAAATTGAAAAATGTGCCCGTCCAAAAAGGTTTGTATCCACTAACAAATTAAAAAATGAAAGCTGTCAGAATTCTACGGAATTAAAAATCAGAGTATAGGTGATCTACCTTCTGTGCCTGAGACACGCCTTCGACTTTTTGGGTCTAAAGCTACGGTTTACTAGAAAAGCGGTGCCGTTAACTAACGGCCGTTATGTAACGTTGGGTGACGTCACCCATACGTTGTCTATAAATAACATCGTAGTTATTTAGTAGGTTTCCTAGAGAAAAGTTGAGTGTCACCGTAACGTCAAATAGCGGTTCTGTCATTTGCATGACGGCAGTCATAGCGGTGATAAACAGTAGTTCAACGTTTTTCGCGTGTAGCGGTGCGCATATTTAATCAATACAATGACTTGAACGAGCGATAATGATGAACAATTAATTGATTTTATTAAAAATCATGAAGCTTTGTACAATATCAAATCCAAAGAGTACAGACAAGCTCAGATGAAGTAAAATTTGTGGAACGAAATTGGAATAACACTTAAAAAATACGGTCGCACTACTTTCTAGGTAACCTCAGCTTGGCCACCGTAAAGACGGCCGTTAGTTAACGGCACCACTATTCTAAGAAACCGTAGCTTTAAGAATGCCGTCAGATTTCTATATACGTAATCATTTGTTGTTTCTTATAGGCAAGTAGGTCCTTCACCGTATAACCAAGTATTCCGACACTCAAAAAATCTCTCTATTGGGTAGGGATTCAGTACTTTCACTTGGATAACACTTTTAAGAGAAGCCTTGCTTATACGCGTTTTATCGCATCGATTTTTTTAGTAAGAGCAAACATGTCACACTAACTACAACATGATGTCATGGTAGGGGAGCCCAAGAGGGTTTCGGGATTTACTAAGCGGGCGATTATATATGGGGGACCTTGTCCCGGTTGTACCTCCACAAAATATGAGGCCCATTGGCCGCCCGGAAGGAGACAGGATCAGATTAGTAAAAAAAAATTGACCATCAGAAATTTCCTCGAGCGCGTCAGATTAAGGTAGGGTGAGTTAATTACATCCTAAAAGTGATCCACTATCTGACAATTTGAAAGTGTCGTAAAAAAGGGAGGGCAAAAAGTTGTAAAAAAACGTCATCTCGACATTCTCGAGCGTAGCTAATTTTTTTTTTTTTGAAGGAAATAATTCAAGAATAATGAAAAATATATAATCTGACGATTTCCGCAGCCGAAATAACAATTCTGATAAGTAAGAGGGCTATTCCTTACCGATCGGAATCTACTAAACGTTCTAAATATTTCCCTCAAAATTAATTTCCTGTGAATTTGAACCGATTCGACCGAATTTTGAGAAATTTTGAAAAATCTTAAAAAATAAGAAATTTTTTTTTTTAAAGTGGTTTCTTTATCGATCACTTCAACTAATGCCTTTGAGCTTGAAAACCACGTGATGCCACCAAGTGGTCAAAAGCGGTTGATTCGTTCGAGAGATATCTAACGAGAAACCCGAAAAGTGTTTTTTCGGGATTACTCCGAAATTTGTGGTTCGATCAATTAAAATACATATGGGATTAACTGCGTCGAATGCCGCCAACGCGTGAAAATTGCTTGTCCATTCAAAGTTTGCGGTTTGAAAATTCCAAAATAGTTCTATGAAACTTCTATCGACTTTCGAGCTGGGAGAGCTCAAATGCATAGAAATATTATTTCTTTGAACTCAGTGAGCTCAAAATATCAATATTACCCAGGAATGGAATTAGCGGGAAGTTGCAGGATGGCCCTTTAGGTGAACCGTTTTTCTAAATTTTTGTCAGATCAGGCGAATCCCTCTAGATAATGTCAGATTATGAGACAGTACGTTTAGAACATAAAGATGAACCACATATATCTTAATCTGACGCGTTGAGTATTTCAAAATTGCGATTTTTTTTGCAAATTATGAAATGGCCGTGGGTTTGCGTCCCATCGAAATCGTCAGATTGTGAATGAGTGTTTTTTTGGTGCACTTAATACTCCCTTAGAAAATCTGACGCGCTCGATAATTTTTATTTTTTTTCATTTTCAACCCTTAAATACAACCACCGCACTGCAAACGATCGATTAACATACGTAATTATAAAAAAGTAGGCATTGATGCTATCAATATCTGCGGTCGAGGAGTCCATGCAACAGTTTTTTTACATATTTAATAATCTATAGCCGTTCCCCGATGAAAAGGATTTTTTTCTTCTTATTATCTAAGCTTTACCCACTCGGAAATCCCCATGGGGCATATGGCAACAATATTTTTTAAAGCGTGACTATATTTTCCTTTCAAACTTTTAATAGGAATTAAAATATTTATATATGTTAAAGATTAATAAGATTTATTTAATAAAAACTTATGATATAGATAAACACTCAATGAATCAATTATTTCATAAGATACTTAAGAATTAAACATTTTCTCACCAAGAAAGTCAGGTTGGTTAAGGGTTCCATTCCGTTCCAGGGCGACACAGGCCACCAAAGTAGGTATCAACAGTACCAGAGTGTATAGAATTGTGTACGTTATCAACGACGAGAGCCAAAAGACCAGAGGGGGACACCCAGACATTATGTGTATGTGTCGAGTACTACTTTGTCGCTCTTTGCATGCCATGCCCACCGCATTCATAACTGTAGCTGAGATAACTGAAATAGGGTTTATCTGTTAATATTCTTCTCATCGATTGCTACTACAAATATTTTCCTTTGAGAGTTAGAGAGAGTTCGAGAGAGAGAGTACTACAGATCTATAAAGAGAGAGAGAGAGAGTTCTAGAGGAGGTGAGAGCTAGAGCTAGTTTTAAATTTACTGCCAATTCTCAAATCAAGGGCGTAGAACGGACGAGAAAAACTGGCATTATACTTCCCCCCGTCACGTTTTTAAATCGACAGGTATTTTTACAAAATGTTAGTAAAAACACATGTTAGTTAATTATTGTAAACAAACTTTTCAACTCTATCAGCAAGGCACGGCACGGATCGATTACATGCGAAGAACAAAATGCAAACGCTATTTTTATGTACATAGAAAGGAAAATGAAAATCGCAGAAACAGTAAACTATTGGCGTATATAACACTTTCTCTTTCCTCTCGAATATTTCTCTACTATTTTTGCTGGAAGTGGCATGAATGTCAAGTATTAAACCATTTAAAAATACTTACTAAAAACGACGAAGGCACTCCATAAGAAGACGCTACCCATAGCTTTCGGTTCGACAATCTCCGCAGTCCTTAGTTGCGCCGATTCTAGAGGATAATTAATGGTGGTCAAGGTTACACCATCACCCCAAGGCAAAAGATGACTCGCGAGCAAATTGGTTAGAACGTTCATGGCGACGGGTGCCGCGTGACGTACACGAGTCGTAAACAAAATCTGAAAGAAATAAATTAAAATATACCTGTGGCGCTACAAACTTGTTAGGCTTCGGATGTCTGTATCTGTTTCATGATAATTTGTCAAAAGTCAAAATCATTTATTCATATAGGTAACACAATCTACACTTATGAACGTCGAAACAGAAATACATATTAAATGCTTCTTATTTTACATTTACTGCCAGTTCTCAAATCAAGGGCGTAGAACGGAAGAGAAGAACTGCCAATAAATTCTCCGCTACTCTTTATAAATTATAATCGCCAAGTTTTTTGTTTTACACAACACAATGTTTGTAAAGAGCTGCAACCATTACACCATGTTCCACAGGACTTCTTAAGTAATTAATAATTATAAATAAATTAACAACAAAGATTTGTCCTGTATCAGCAGAAGGCATGATGAAATAGGAGCACGCACTTACATTTTCGTAGGAAAAACACGCTCAAACAAAGTAGGTGATCACCGTTCTTTGCTTGACACACGCCAACGACTTTTCACCGTTTCAGCGAATGTTAAATGCGCACATAGAAAGTCCAATGCAGCCGGGGATCGAACCTACGATCTTAGGGATGAGTTTCCCTGAAGCCACTAGGCCAACACTGCTATAAAAAAACCCTCTAAAATGCACTTAAAAAATAACAACATTTATTTGTGTTGATTAGTCTTACATTAAGGAGGATTAAATTTTTAAAGCGATTATTTATATAAGGGGTATGAAGTTCCAATTGCAGAATTTGGAATCATTTTACACTAGCTCATGCAGATCGGTTTACGGACGCACCAGCTATACATAAACAAACATAAATAAAATATTACACGACCAATTCAAACATTTCAGAGGGTTAAAAATAAAAACTTCTTTTAGCGAAAGCTAAAAAGTACCCATAATTTATAATAATAATTTTAATTATTGGTGACTATGTACACTATGAAAGTTAATAATTTTTTACAAACACTTACCTTAGCGTCGGTTTCATTAAGTTCCAATCCAACGATATACTTGTTGTAATCCAACTGATCTCGCTTGCTAATACGCAAAATATCTGAAAAATATTCAAATTTTAATATGTTTATTACTTAAAATTCAAGATTTTGACACGCTTGAGACAGTATCTCTCCGCTGCCACCAATTGTTATAACTGAATTGTTTTACAGGAAAAAGGAACTTAATGAGCCAGGACTTAACGCACAACGGACCAAATGTGCGTCTAAGTACCGGAATCTGAGTCCACACTACACTACGAAAAATTAATAATTTTAGTGTAAAGGTACGATTCCACTAAAATAGCGTGCAGCACATTTGTTTACAAACAGGTATTGCGTATGGCTTCTGTCTCCAACGGCAATGCTGTGTGTAACTTTTGTTTGCGCGTAGTGTTGCACACTTGTTCACTGATAAGATTTTCTGCCGACAGTTGCTAATATGGACGGGTAGGAAAACGTTGTGCTATGTGCTGCAGCCTGTGTGTTATTATATTGTGTGCGCACAATTAAATGTTTTCGCTTTGGTAGCGGAATCAAGACTGACTTCGCGAACAACGAGTGTGTGCGCGTCGACACACGTCCACTACTTGTACCGTGTGCGCGCACACAAGTGCACAGTTGTGCGCGAACTTTGCTGGAATATTCGCGCACAATATGTTATTGTTCGCCTGAGTGAGTCGACCAAAACAAACATTTGTGCCTTACTCTGTGCAACTCCGCACAGTTCAGCACAGTGGTGGAATCGTACCTTAACAAAACGTAAAAATTCATAAACAACGAGCGGCAATTGTTTTGTTAACGAATGAATTTACTATTACCAAGAGTATAAAATGACACATCGTATTAATAAAAAATCGCAAAACATACGAAACACTAAGTAACTTAATATTAAAACAACGTTTGGTCATGCTTAGGGTTTTCGGGTTTATTTTGATGTATTAAAGATTGCTTAACGACTTTTTTAATTGGGTGAACAACGTGCAATATAAAAAATACACCAAAAATCAAAACTTGCTTTCATCTTCACAGTCGTGGCTTAGGACATTTTGACATGTGAACGAAAGTATCATGTGAAGATACATTATTCTACAAAACAAGGTAACGAAATCTAGATGCAAAAATTTATCGGTACACCAGACGTATTTTTGCTGCTACCCTCGTTTCTAAAGTATTTTTCCTAAAAAATATATGCCTATGTTAACGGTAAGGAACCATACATAGTAGTCCAGCTATTTTATTACTTCAGGGCTTAATATTAATAGCTAAATAACAAATAAACGTTTAAAGTTTTAGAAACTTACTGGCAGCAACATCATCTGCTACTTCAAAGTCGATTTTCGGATAGGCGTCACTAAGGCTTCGTAAACTATAAGACTTGTCCACTTTATAAAGAACCCGCGAATTCGGCAAATCCTGATACATGTCGAGGTTCATAGTCGCTGGTGGGTTCTTTTCTTCTTCGGTTTTTAAATCGTTGCTTATTTGCGTTACACCGTATAAAAAGAATATGGGTAGAACAATTTGCTGAAAAATAAAGTAATATATATTTTAACTTGCAGTTGGAGAGCTGAAATCTAAATAATCATACTAACAAATATAGTAGATTGAGCGATATGTAAAAATTTGTAAGGGTGCGTACAGACTATGTAACATATTATATAACTTGTGTTTTATAACACGTCCACAATATGTAACCTTGTTATTCAACATTATAACATAAAACAATACTGTACACATTAGAATAACAATGCAATATAACAATGTTATATAGTCTGTACGCACCGTAAGAGTTAGGTAATGTTTTTTTTTATTATTTCTCCGTAAAACGTAATATCGATTGCGGATCTTAATTAAAAGTAAATCCAGGCCAATCACATACCATTATTTCTTACATCTTTTGTTTAACATAGTAATATAAGATTGGCAACATCGCTTTGTTAAATCATCCATAATATAGTTTTAGTTGAAATTGCCGGTTTTTTTACTATTTGCCTCTGTTTTTTTTTATTTTGTTTAGATGTGTATGTGTGTAAAATTTGTATTCATATTTTCTTGTTTTTTCGAGGCATGCATGTTGTTTAAGAACTTATAAATACACAGGATAAAATAATTTTAAGAAACCGCACAAGTCAAATCGGCATGCGGCAGTGTTGGAGATGCTCCTGAGACCTAATATGTAGATACACATTTCATACACTCACTCACTCTTCCACCATACACTACTACTCATGCAATTATGCTGTTGGAAACTAAAAAGATGTAATTAAATAATATATATTTTTTATGGAATTTACAATGTTTGTTATGGAAGAGTTGGGAACCGTTTACTTAAAAGGCTTCCCAAATCTTACACATTATGATGAATATTTTTGTCAAATTAATGAACATATATTTGACGCTTCGGAAATTGTGTTCCACCATCATATAATAATTATTACTATTGTGTATACTGTATATGTTATATTTTTTAAAGATGGAAGATGTAGGCAGCGAGTTAGAATTGGTGATGCATTTTTTAATGGTACCAAAATTAATGAATCGAAGTTAATCTCAATGGGCAGTTAAGAAAATGAAGTTTATAAAAAGAATAAAGCAATAAATGGTTGTTTAATAGAGTTGCTTTTTTCCATTCTCGCTTAGGTGATCCCCTACATAATATCTAAGCAGTGTAAACTCGATGTAACGTCCCTCGATTAACGACTAACCCCCAAAAGCGGCGAAATCACTCGGCTTCGGTTGGTTTAGCTCGTCTTCCATACAATGATTAATTCTACATAGCATTACACCCACTCTCAATAACGACAAATAAATAATAAAAAGTAATTTACAAGTTGCCGAAATTAGTTAAAACTACGGAGCTGTGTACGTTGTTTTGTCGCTTTATTGTCCGAGCGAGAAATAAACTCGACGGTCACTACTCGTCATACGTACCTAACTTGTGCTTTAAAACGAAGATGCTTCAATATCGCTAGATATTAATTAAATAAGTAAAAAAATACAACCTAACTACTGGTACTGTACATAAATAACAGACAACGCAATAGCGTTCAAATACGAATTGTTTTTATGTTATTACTAAGACTAGTCTGAAATCTGTTCTTTTTCTAATAGAGACTTTTGTTTCCATTTAGACGGCAACTCTTTGTAACGTCAAAATAGTGTATTATATTGAGTGTCGGTATATAGAGCGTACACTGTATAAATTTTTTTAATACAAAAATTTTATGTGACCTTAATTCACATAACGTTTCTTGTGAGTCGCGGTCACGTTAAAACTGTTAATGAATCATTAAACAATCAATAATAGTAGTTTATGCAACTGTCATGTAATAGAGGGTATTAAAACATGAGTGAGTTTTTAAAATAAGATTACACGAGTGTTTTAATACCTAATTATATGCAGTTGCATACACTACTTTATTTAATCTCATGGCTATAGGAACATTAAATATAATGCAATATGAAAGAAACAAAAGTCTGTTATTGATCCATTGGCTCGGAACTAGCGCGTTGTGCGCTCACCACTGATGATGTGTATTTAAATTGAATTGAAACCTCCTTGGTCGGGACACATTGTACTTTAATAATTAAAAAATTGTTTTAAAGCATTGTTTAGTTAGGTGAATAATGGTTTAATTTATTTTTTTAATTTTCTTAAAGAAGTATGTAAATAAAATATGCCAATAAAAGTCTGTATTTCATTTTATAATTAGAATATTACCGAATGAGATTATATAAATTACTAGCAGACCGGCCAAGCGTTGCTGTGGCTAAGGTTTTTGTTATATTACATAGAAGTAAACTATTCAAGGGAAACGGTAGGAGAACACCAGTCATGGGGATCACCATGCTTTTTTGGTGGTTATGCCATTAAATTGTAACTTATGTGAAACGTTGGTACTTTCAACACAGCGCCATCTGTTAGAATTGTGACTATTAAATAATAAACAAATATTTTGAAATAAAATAATATTGCGGGTATAAATTGAGATTTAAGCTATCCTATCTTTTAAGTTGGATCAAACTACACACGATGTGCAAATTTGATTGATATTGGTTCGGTAGTTTAGGAGTCCAAAGCGGACAAACAACGTGACACGTAATTTATATATATTAAGAAGATTTATGGCATACCGTTAGAACAAAAGATATCTTGTGGAACCAAAGGAACTTCAATATACGGCGGAACAGCGCAATGAACTGGCGTAAATACAATTTCATTCCAGTTAGTTTTGGATAATCGGCTTCTGTAAATACAAAAACCGTTACTTGTAAAAGAACCAAAGAGTTATCTAACAGCGTTAAATACATATAATACAGCACTTGCCTTGAATCTCAGCATCGACTTCGTCATCATCAAAAGTTGTAGTAACATCACTGCACAATCTGAAAATATAGCATTTTTGTATATTAACACATTTCCAAAAAAACTAATTAACAATATTTGTACGTAATAATTACAATAGGTCATCAATTAAGCCTTGACATATACATCTATATCAAGAAAATTTAATAAAATTAAAAGAAAATTCAACTTTTCCCACCAATTTACGCTTTAAGGTCGAAGCACACATATCAACTCGGAAAGGGATCGCCACCGCATCAACGAGCCGTTAGTATTGTTTGTATGAAACTCCTTACTTTCCAGTACACTAATCGGAATCGTAACGTAACCGCCTCGCCTCGGAACAGGCTCCGAACCGCGATGCGGTGCGTGGTCAACTTGCAGTTCCCGCGCTTACGGCTCGTCGTCCCCGCGCCGACGTCTCTCCGTTCCCGAACTCACGTCTCTTCGTCCACCCTTGCCGGGGCCCGCGGGGGGGGCCCCTGGCTTTTTCATATTGTGTAGCCGTATCTTTTTCTTCGATTTTTGCTATTTTCTTTTCCCTCTTCCATCTCACGTATTGTAAACCGGGACATAACCATGGTAAGGTAAGCCAGCGGTCGGCGATCCATAGTCGTAGCCGAGTTGACGTACACGGAGCTACTGATACGAGGGCGGCACTGAAAATTTCGGGAATCAAGGAAGTGACACAACATTACATTTAAAAATGTATTTATTGCTTCTCGAAGTATTCTCCGCGAAATTTGACACATTTTTCATACGATGGACCAATTGAAGCAACCATTCCATTCGGAAAGGTGGGGGGGTGTGGGGGCTCCAAAATGGCCAAAATGGCCATTTGTAGGCGTCCACAGCTTCTTCATGTGATGAAAATCTCTGACCACGCAAAGAGAAGTAGGGAAGGGTATGACGGTCTGGGCGTTACTGCATACGATGTTTTGCATTTTCTGAGATTTACTATGGTAATATATATATATTTTTTTACCATAGGAAAGTAGAGATTTCAATGAACTGAAAGCACACCAACTTTTTGAAAAAGCTGAAATTTTGAGTCAGAATTTTCGATTGAAAATTAGGTTGTTTTTTCGATATTAATTCAAAATAAGTGAAAAAATAAATATTTTTAATCAAATAAATTACAGTATATTTAGGACATAATAAGGTAAGTTTTCACCAAATTTCGTTTAAAAAAATAAATTTTTGTAAAAGATAAAAATTAAAAACAAAAACTTGTTTTTGAATTTTTCACTAAATTTTGAGGTTATGTGAAAAAGTGTGTGAATACAAAAGTTTTAGATCAAAGGTCTTTTTATTACCTACAACTTTGCCATTTAACTTTCTTCGATAGGACTTTTAGTTTTGCCGGAAATCGAGATAAACCGTTTTTTACCCTTAAAACTCCACCCCCACCCATTTCCCGACCTCAGATCGACCGTAATTTATTTTTCCTTTCATTTTGATCATATTCCCTGTTTTCTAATAGGTTTCATCCTACTATTATTTTTCACTTTTTATTTATTTTGAAGGCTATCTGCACTGGTCTATAATTGTTCATGCAAGATTATTTGTATTGACTCAGCCAATGTCTAAAGTTGCCTGAATTTCGCGGAAGTCACAGTCGATCTTCCTCAATCAGCTTACGCACAGCATCAACGTTTTCTTGGGTGACTGCAGTTTTTGGACGACCTTGACGGGAATTATCACTGAGCTTTGGCACGTCACGTTGAAATTCAGCAAACCAGCGATAAATTGTGGTTTTGGATGGGGCTTTATCACCAAATGCAGAAATCATCCGGTCAACACACTGTTTTTGTGATAAACCACTTCGGAAGTCATAATAAATCGTCGCTCTTGAATTTTCTCGAGTCAATTCCGTTTTCTCATCGACTAAACAAGTTTGACAAAAGTTTGTGAAAAGACCGAGAATCCTTTTTAAAAGAAATAAATGGTATTATTCCATTCCCGATACTTTTAGTGCAGCCTATGTACGCTTTTTACGTACTACGTTAGGTTGACGCCTGCTGGACAGCGAGGCGAAAGGCGATACGGTGACGATCCCTTTCCGAGTTGATATGTGTGCTGTGACCTTTACCGTTTGATCCAATTCTCTCTGCTTTGGCTCGTCGGCAATAATCTCCGACAGTAAGGAAATACAAATACATTTTATATTGATTGTTCAAAATAGATGATTTTAAACGCTTTTTAGATGCTTTTATTGCAATTACACCTAAGCCACATTATTTTTTTGGATCGCTAAGTGTTCGCTCGCGATTATTTATTATATTTACCCCCTTAAATTTAAAAACCCCAAAAAATTGAATATATAAGGGTAGGTATGTCTTAATAATGATTGCTAATAATATATGTTAGACAATACAGGCAAAAATAAATTGTGTATTGGCCGGCGTAACTACTGTTAAAATTTACTTACTTTATAAAAACTTCCTCCAACGTGGACTTTCCCACGCCAATAGAATCAATGCCGAGTTGTGACCTCTTATTCTCCAAAGCCGTAAATAATTTAGCAAATTTCGTACTGTCTTTAGATGGGAGACTGTATGAGATTGAGTTGAGAGAGGTTTCTTTAAGTGTGGCGTCGGGGATGTAAGATTGTATCACTTCAGTGATGGCTTGTTCTCGAGGTAGTCCGATTGTTGTGAATGATAGGCGGTAGCCGGTACCTATTTTAAAATATATAAATTCAATAATTTAATAGAAAATTTAAGTCACCAGTGAAATGGGAAACCCATGCTTCATGCATGCGAAAAGTTAGAATAACATTATTTCTAAAAACGGAATTTTTACTTATAACTGTGGGGTTATTAAAACTTATTTTTTTTTAAAACGTTAAAAAAGTTGTATTGTTTCATTTTAATTCACATCACGTATCACTTTAAAATAAAAGTCATGATAAGTTTGATTTGATTCTTTGATTTTCTTATTTGGTGATTACGTCAACAGTAATTATTTACTATGCTTGAAATGCATTTTCGAGGATTCCTACAAAAAATGAATAAGTTTATGTACTATTATTTTTGAGAGCTTTGCTTATATATATATATATATATATATACTAGCAGATTCTGCCAAGCGTTGCTGTGGCTTAGATTGTTGTTATATTACATAGTAGTAAACTTATTATAGTAGTAAACAAGGGAAACGGTAGAAGAACACCAGTCATGGGGACCACCATGCTTTTTTGGTGGTTATGCTATTAAATTGTAGCTTATGTGAAACGTTGGTACTTTCAACACAGCGCTATCTGTTAGAATTGTGACTATCAAATAATAAACAAATATTTTGCAATAAAATAATATTGCGGGTATAAATTGAGATGTAAGCTATCCTATCTTTTAAGTTGGATCAAACTACACACGGTGTGCAAATCGGTTCGGTAGTTTAAGAGTCCATAGCGGACAAACAACGTGACACGTAATTTATATATATTAAGATATATATATAATTCTAAAATTGCAGAAAATCAGTTTACGTAATAATTGAACGGCCCTTATCCTAAAATAAGAATTACAAACCTAACGCCCTCTTGAGGTACATAGGAGTAGCATGACAACGTAGTTTCCCACCCTGCAGTGCGGCCACGCGATCTCCCAACGCGTCCGCCTCTTCCATGAAGTGCGTACTCAGCAAAACCGTACGAGAACCGCGGAGGGACTAAAAGTAAATAAACTAAAAATTTATAAAACAACCTAACAGAAGTACAATACCCGGCGCAATTTGCACATAGGCAACAAATGCTAACATGTCCATCAATTATTATATTTATCGTTTATCTGAATATCAATTCAGAACTAAATACTTTATTGGAGATTTGTTTTATTTCACTACACTGTACGAAGCCGTGAAACTATCAAAAAACATTTAGACACTAAACGTTATGGTAGTGTACGAGAGAGATAAAAGCTAAATTTGCCGATTCTCTCTTTCTAATTGATGCGCAATATTTATCGCCAGCACTTGTATACGTCAAATCTCGTGCGTCCCATATGAATTAAAACCAGCGGAATGTGTATTAGAATATCGCATCAACTACTTCTTCAAATGTTTAGAAAGATAAAAACAAAGACGAAACTATGGCATGTTTAATAGTAATCCCCAAACGAGAGGTCGAGTCGCGTGTCTGTGATTGGTCGATTGGTCCAACCAATCAAAACAAATCTAAACGCGCAATGCAACGATATTAAAGAACCAATTACATTTACCGCAATGATAAGTTTTAATATGCAAAGTGTATTATGATTTCTTTTAATATAGAAGAAATTAAGTTTTAATTCTAGTTAGGTCCATATTTTAATTCACATCATGTCATAATCTGGTCTTGAGCGCTGTCAAATAAGTCAAACTTCATACGGTTTGGAAACCCCAAACCGCAAGAATAAATCTACTTCTTAAGACAGAAGTAGATTTAAGTTTGATGGATAATGTACATACCGACAGCAAATCCCACAATTGCCTTCTCGATTCTACATCTAATCCAGATGTAGGTTCATCTAACACCAGCAATTTCGCATCTCCAGCTAACGCACATGCCAGCTGTAGCCGTCTTTTCATTCCTCCAGATAAAGCACTGCTCAAATCATTCAGTTTGGTGGATAAGCCCAGGTGGTCCAGCAACTTCATTGATGAGGATTTCGCCTCTTTATAGCCTTCGCCTTTGAGCTGGAAAAGACGATAAAATATATTTACCCCCATGTAACGCGCCGTAACGTTTTTCTGTACCCAATAGTAAAACGTTTCGTGACCACCCAGTGACTCTTTATACCTAAAAGATACCATTATGTGGTGTAAAGTACTGGACAGTCGACAATAATATTAACAATAACGCGTAATTCAATCCCCGCCCCGCATCGTAACGTTAATCGGACCCCCCCAAATTCGTTACGTAATACTTGAACGCTCCCTTATTCGCAATTATTTTTTTTAAATTGAACTATACTTTTTTAAGAATCTTCATTGGTCGTTATAGAGGGTAATCTATTTAAATGCAAAATCCGTGAAAAAAATTATAAATTACAAACGGTTTCACTTGGAAAAAAAATCAACATTAACCCGGCAATTATATGTCTTATTTGTTCCAAAATATAAATTAAACTACGTCAGCAGTTACGGACTAGGCGTTACCTATGAAGTATGATATAGTTTATTTAAGCATTATTTTACTAAGAAGTACGATACTTTATAGGTGTGAGATATCTCTCTTGTTCAAAAAAATAATAATATTTTACCATGGTAAAGAAAATGGCATGTTCAAGCACAGTAAGATCCGGGAAGAAGAGATTGTGTTGCGGACAAAGACCGAGGTGTTGTCGCATTTCTTCTCTTTGTGTGAACGTGTCCAGTCCTTCTACGTACACGTTGCCTTCGGTTGGGCTTAACATGCCTAAAAATATAATGAATTTTGATAATTAGTAGTACCTTTATATTTTTATTACTGATTTTACTGTATTTTATTTATAAGGTTTTCTTATAACTGAACTCTAACGTAGTAATCCGATAACGATTATTTAAAATCCTTGAACTGTTCGTTAAATCTTGAAAAAGAATTAGATATAGTTTTTGAAGTTATACTTCTTTAGGCGCGTTATGAAAAATGTATGAGAGTGAAATTATACGATGCGCGCGCACCGTGACACAAAATTAACAGAATGAAGTTGCCCACGGATGATGCTACAGCATTGTACATAATTTAAAAACAACATTCGAATAATAATAGAATTTATGTTACACTTAATGTAAGAGAATAATAATAAATATTTATTCATTTAATTTTTCATATGTAAACTGAACTTTATTGACTATAATGACTCCTTTTCCAGTCTTTGATTATTTAATTGTAATTAATTATTTGCATGCAGTCAAAAACTATTTTTAATAAAGCCAAAGAAGTATAACTTCTTCACGCGTACATAAGTACACGCACCCTTTTTTATTATTTATTATTACAGTAAAATAGGAAATTAATAAGTACGTGAAAATTCTTACCAGTAATAATAGACATAAGCGTTGTTTTCCCTGCGCCATTATGACCTAGCAACACTGTGATCTCTCCCTTTAATACGTCCATTGAGACATTATTTACCACGCGTTTCTTATCGAACACCTGAATTAAGCAGTAAAAAATACTCGTCAATAAAAAAGATAATTCAAATTTAAAAAACTTACAAAATGAAGGCTTAAAATATTTGCTTAGAAGATATATAGAAGGCTTTAAAAGCACACAGTGCTTCACTATGATCGTAGGCTGTATTTCTTTTTAAATGTCGTATGGACAATATGGATGTTGTGGCTCGGACAGTAAGGACTGACGTCGCCAGACGCAATATGCAGGCATATTACATCTATAATAAATTAATAAGGCTGCTTAATATCTACCCGCTCACCGTTCACAATCTAATAAAACCGTTAAAGGAAGGAGGAAAAAACAAACAAAAAAATTCATGGAATTAACTTTTAAGTTTGATATGGAAGAACTGGCAACCCTGACAAGTAGGTACGTTTTACTTAAAAGGGTTCCCAAATCTTACACATTATAATGCATTGTTTATAAAGACATTTCTATTTTTTGAAGTGAAAACTTCTTTAGCGGCGTTGTACACTTTTTTTGGAATGGGTAAAAAATGTTAAACTCGCGTCAGGACACGTGACCTGATCGAAAATTCGTAAGACGGATGGAGAGTAGACAGCTGGCGAGGCGTATTTAATGTAATATAAATTGTCATGTTTGTGTACGGTAGCGCAATAAATAAATATTGTACTCTACCACAAAAATGATAGTACTTTTATACTGATAATTAAAGCAATTCGGGCAAAATTATTCTCTAATCATTCCAAAATATAAAAAATGCACAACGTTAATATTCAAGTTTTCACTTCTGCCGGCACTCCCGCAGTGCAACCCGTTTTTTTATATTTAGTAAGGTTAGTTGGCGACACCAATAAAGCGGTTTCCATACGTTGGGTAGCCTTAGGGAACTCAATTCACTTCGACATGTTCGTACTTTAGTAACTTTTTTTAGCAGACGATACTGATGTTGTCAGTAACAAAAATTTATCCATTGAATGTTTTGTCTTTATCACTCTCCATACATCTTGGTAATTATTAAAGGAGACATAAGCTCACAAATTTTTCTTCTGTTCACAGATACTTTTCCTAACACGATTGTATATGCTATAATCGATTTCTAACGAATCATTGTTTAGCTCCAAGTGGATCCCAGAATTTCTAGCTAAATATACCTTAGAAACGTTGACAATCTTAATGCCAACTTCAGCATTCCTCGGAGGCTCCTCAAAGAACATAGCATCTTCGTCTCTCATCTCCTCCAACTCCTCTATTTCCTCTTCTGGACCGATTTGTTTCTTGTTCCAGTAACTTTTCTGAAATTCGAAAGCAATTATGTTTAATTTATACTCTAATTTTTAATTCCGTAGAATTCTGATATTTCATAAATGTTGGTACTTAAAAGTAAAGTAAGTAAAAAGTTCTCCACCGAAAAAGGGACAAATTTGACCCATTTAGGGCAATAAAATAAAATTTTATGTTTTACCCATAAAAAGGTAAATCTAAACTTACTCAAGTGATCTAATACAAAAATAACAAATATTTCAGTATCACGAAAAATATATCGAATTAATAACTTTATTTTATAGCTGGCATCACTGCCTGCTAATTCCAGGTTCAGTAAACCTTTAAAAAAAAATAAAATGTTATCTTTACTTGTGTGTTTTTTACTGTTTGTGATGACAAGGGACGTAATTATCAGTCGCCGTAAAACAACTTTTAATATTGAGCACCGCACTTAATAAAATGGAAACATTCACTAATAAACAAAATGTTTGTATCGAGTCAGATTTTGACTCGTGACCGGCCAAAAAGGTTTGTTATCTCTGAAATGTCAAAAAATGAAGCAGAAATCAGAATTCTACGAAATTAAAAATCAGAGTATATACACAAAATTTTGCTGGATTGGAGAAATCTACTTAATAGTTAAATAATTTGTTGTCCTTCTAATCCTCTTTATCTATATATAGATAAAATTCAGAAAACCCTGTTATTTTTTTTAACTCAATACGAGCCAATAGAGCAAGAGGCTCATCTGATGTTAAGTTATACCGCCCATGGACACTCTCAATGCCAGAGGGCTTGCAAGTGCGTTGCCGGCCTTTTAAGAATAGGTACGCTCTTTTCTTGAAGGAACCTAAGTCGAATTGGTTAAGAATTACTTTAGTGTTAGTTTCCTTTTACTTTTTGGTAATTTATATATATATATATAAATTTCTAAATCCCAAAGTGTTGGTAAATATCTACTTATTTACTTCAGTAGGGTGAGGAAGTTTAGTTTGGTTTAACAAATACCACGAAAGAAAATTTAAACTAGAATATGTATTTTGTGATTATTCGTAAGTAGGCGTAATTGGAACGCACATGGAGTAGAATTCGTGAAGATTCTAAATTTTGACATTAGTATACGTGAGAATTGAGAACGAACCATTTGGTATGAGTACAACATCAATAATACCTGTCTAAAGAAGCGAAATCCTGTGATACATACCTGACATAAGAAATTCCAAGGCAAGGCATGGCCATATTGTCCGGGCATAACGAGAGAGAGATAGCGTGTGAGCGAGAAAAATACAACCGATTGTAAAACTAAGAAAAAGTAACAGCCGAGTACTGATACAGAGTGCTTGGCGTGCGTAGTCGCCATATTCGATATTGATAATCCTTGTCCTGTAATGTAAAGGATTACTTGAGTTGCGTTGCTTTCATATATTATTTTTAAATAAAAAAATAATAAGTGTCGCTACAACCTTTTTCGGTCTGGCCCTCAGATTTATGTACCTGTTTCATGATCAATTGTCAATCTAATAGGCAAGTAGGTAATCCGCCTCCTGTGCCTAACACACGCCGTCGACATTTTGGGTCTATATGTATTTTTTACCATTTTAAAATTTAATACTAGCCAGCAAAATACCAAAATGGGCAGATAAAAAAATATTTGCGGGAATCGACACGATAGTTATCTTCAGGTAAACGTGCACGTCTACTTGCGAGCGTCTCGTACGTGGTAGAATGTGCACGTAACTTAATTTTCTTTAGATTTAAATAATGTACAACAATCGCTTAGCCAAATCGTAATCATTCAATGACATGCGAAATGTGGGAAAGTTTTTATTAAAATATGATAAGAATAATTGTAATTGTATTTATTATTATATATTTATTGTTATATCTTAAAATGTGAATTTATTTATTATTGAATTTATTATTGAATTAATTTAACTTCTTTCTGACAATTCATAAGTGTACTTGTTTACCTACATTAATAAAGATATTTTGAGTTTGACTGTGTATTCAATTACCACATAAAAACCTGTTAACATCCGAGCCTATCATAGCCTTCTATGCCTGCAGTTTATTGACAAATATAAATAAAATCCATCAGTGAATTTTTTTTTTTTCACCCCACCGGCCCGGCCTTTCACTTTTCGCAATCGTTTCAGAGATTTGATTTAACTATTAATGCGTTAGTGATGCCTGTATCCAAGTTATTATGTTGAAGTTAACTCACCATACGTTTCCAGAGCAGCAACATCATACCAGAAGGACATCATGGGGGCGTGAGGAACAAGCATTACAAAGGGCATCGCCCACCACGGGTTATCCAATTCCATAAGCCACTTGGATGGAAACGTAAAAGCTATGTACACCACAGCCGCAACGGTGGTTACGTATTGAGCTGGAAATAAAATAAAAAACGTATTACTATAATTAGTGAGTACATAGATATCATTTTGGGTTTAATAGACGTTAGAATATCTATATTTCGTTGTGATTGTGATTTGGGATTGTCAATAAATAATAATAATAATTGTGGTGGATTTTTACGAAGTACGCCGGTTTCTTCACGATATTTTCCTTTACTATACAAATGCTACATGCGCACGAATACAGAAAGTTCAATGGCGTACAGCCGGGGACCAGACTAACCACTAGCCATTAGGCTAAAACTCAAAATAACTTTATTCATAAAGGTAACAAATACACTTATTAACGTCAACAGAAAAGATATTAAATTGATTCTAAATTGACATTTACTACCAGTTCGCAAGTAAAGGGCGTAGATTAAAGAATTAGCAAGAAACTCTCCGCCACTCTTTTTTAATCGCTAAGTTTTGAGTCATACAAATTGTTTGAACTGGAGCAAATTTATCCCAAGGATTAGGATCATTTAAATATTCGTCAAATTTATAAAAAGCTTTGTTGATTAATTTACGCTTAACGAGAGCTTTGAATTTATTTAGTGATCATTCTCTAATTTCGCTTGGGAGTTTGTTGTAAAAACGAACACAGTAGATTACCGTACGACATAACGCTGTGGAAGTGTGAATGTGTGGGCCCAATGGAGTAGTAACACTAACACTGTTTTTTTTTTGATGGTAAAGAAAGAAATAAACTATTTCGCGTCGACGGGTGTTTGAACTTGATTGTAACGAGATGAATCACTGCAAGATGCCTGCTGCCCTGCTAGTGATATCTCTCTTCACTTTGTTTGGTTTGTAATGGTGGAGCCGTGAGAATCGTAATTTGTTTGGCGATTCCCCCCTTCCCCCGCGGCCTCCTTGGACGACCAGCTTGTCTATCTTTACAGAGATCTTCCTCCAAGAGTTACCTATATGCCCAAGCGTGGAGAATAATGTTGTGGCGCTTCTCGTACTAATCCTTGTGTTCCTATGCAATAAACTTAACAAAGTCCTTTAAATCTATCATCTCACAAAATACAATTGTAAAAAACTGAATATCTCAAATCGCTTAATTACCAAACCACATAATAAATGGAACGTTTTTCTCGCCCACACTAGTAACCATTTAGCTCACTCACACACACGCACACGCACAATAATAGATAGCATTAAGTTTATTGTCAAAAAATAAAGATGGTGAAATACCTGTATCATAAACTCCTACAATATATATGCAAATAAACTTAATAGTGAAATAAAACCCTTTCCCGTCTTGAGCCCGAATCGTCCGTGACTCTGATCTAAATATAGAAAAGACCAACGTGCGTACGTACACAATTCTCATCTTAGTTGTAATTCAGAGCTAGTGAAATATATATGCATTTTGGCTACGGATATTTAGATAACTACAACGAAATTACAAGTCGGGATCTCAATCGTTTTTCGTACTAGCTTTCCATATTTTTTTCATAAAGTTTTATATATAAAAATTACTTACGATTCCTCACCAAATAGCTTAACGCAAAGGCCATTGACATAATGGAGATGAAGTAGAGAAGAAACATGATGGCTATCAAGAGTGGACTTGTGTGTGGCAGTAGCGGGTTCGAGGATGCCGTTAAAAGAGCGGAATTCACCACACTGAATATGATCCCCGTAGGAAGCACATTCAAGAAGTGGGACAGGCTTAGCATGTTCGATGACACTCCCACCATCTTTATCAGCTCCTGGTTAAACAAAACGGGTTTTTATAAAATAACTAGAAGACTCGGCCAAGTGTTGCAGTGGATAAGGTTTTTGTTATATTACATAGTAGTAAACTATTCAAGGGAAATAGTAGGAGAACACCAGTCATGGGGACCACCATGCTTTTTTGGTGGTTATGCCATTAAATTTTGGTAATGTGAAACGTTGGTAATTTCAATACAGCGCCATCTGTTAGAATTGTGACTATCAAATAATAAACAAATATTTTGCAATAAAATAATATTGCGGGTATAAATTGAAATGTAAGCTATCCTATCTTTTAAGTTGGATCAAACTACACACGGGGTGCAAACTTGATTGATATCGGTTCGCTAGGTTAGGAGTCCATAGGACAACAGCACGTAGTTCGAATTAAATACAATATTATATAATGAAACTTACTTGTACTCCCGACGTCCGTTCTTCTAACAATCTGGAACATAGAAATATAAAAACCAGCTCCAACGACAACCAGCATAGGAACACAAGGATTAGTACGAGAAGCGCCACAACATTATTCTCCACAGCTTGGGCATATGGTAACTCTTGGAGGGAGACTCTCTGTAAAGATAACCAAGTTATTTAAGTTAATGTATGCAACATTACTTAAATTACATATTTAAAATCGTAAACAAAATGTAAACAATCTTTGCACACTTTGAGCCAATATGAGCTCTTTAATTTTTCCACACTCATAAATTGTGATTTAACATTCCTCATTTCCGATAATGTGAACAATAACATAAGTGTCACTTAGATTTATGGACGCAAAAATGCAGTATAAAAAATTTAATCATGTAGGTAACATAATGTTTGACACTTAGTGACTTGTCAGTCAAGAGAACAAGTCAACTTCTAATTTTACATTTACTTCCAGTTACTCAAATCATAGGGCGTAGAATCGGAAGACAAAACTGGCAATACACTCTTTGCACTTTTTTAATGCCATTTTTTTTCACACTTTTAATGTTTCCATCACCATAAACATTGTAATTAATAATAACATTCACATTTACGCATAACGTGGGAACACGCAAACACATAGTCGAAATAAGCAACCCTTAGATAAGTCAAGTTACTTTTTGTTAGCGTCGCAACCCCATTCCATTACCCCTAATTTTATGTTAGTTATAAGCTCATATTTTAAACCGTTAAAGTCAGTTGTTACCCAGCTTCAAAGTGTTTCATTTATCTAATTCTTCATCAATAATTTTCTATCTTAATTTGAGTTCCGAATTTATTTTGTTTTTAAAAAAAAACAAAGTTTCTACAACATTTTTTCGGTCTGGGCCTCAGATTTCTGTATCTCTTTCAACATCATTTGTCAATCTAAATATACAAGTAGGTGATTAGCCTGCTGTGTGCCTGACTTTAAGGGTTTAAGAGAGCCGGTTTCCTCACGATGTTTTCCTTCACCGTTCTCGGGAATGTTAAATTCGCACATAGAAAGTCCATTGGTGCGCGCAGCCGGGGCTCGAACCTCAGGGATGAGACTCGCACGCTGAAGCCACTAGGCCAACACCGCATTTTATTATTTATATTACCTTAGAGAATTAATTCTCAAACCAGTTTAAGTAAGTAGGCAAGAATTATTACCAGGTTAATATCATTTCCGGTTAACAGCTGGAGGTAAGTACTATCAATGGCCCATTGCAAACGAAGGAAGGAGTTGTAAGTTGTGGCTGAAATAAAAAAAGAAATTTATCACAGGATTTGATTACAGGACATCCATATTAGTATGCAGTTTCTTTTAATTGTCAGTTTTCTAACATATCAGCGATTTTAAACATCTCATAAAGAGAGAAAGAACACTAGTGCAAAGGGTAAAAAAAACTTTAGTTGCTGTATTAATATTTTATTTTAAAATACAAAACTTTTCTTTTCGATAAATTTTAAACACAGTAATATTGTTTTATTTATCTTATCTGTAGGTTTAAATAAGTTATAATAAGTATCACTGTTGTTATCTATACGGCGAATTTAAACAAGTTCTCGCGTTATAAATACGTGTTATTGGATCCTAATGCTTAGAACGGACAGTTGACACCTACGCCACAGGCAAACATTTGTTTGCGTTTATTTCAATGAACTATACTTTTTAACGTTTTCCTATTAAAAAATCGATAACCTAACCTCACCTCAAATTGGGGTGAATCAGAACGGAATGCTTAAATTTCACTTTATCAAACCACATATATGTTTAGGATAAATCTACTTAAATTACAACCAGTGTAGAATTTCTGTTCAAAACGTTTGTCCGCCTCAACAGTTTTGATAAAAGAATGGTTGAAGCATAGTTGGTGAAACAAACCCCCCTAAATATCTGTCTGGATATCCATAGTTGCTCCGATCACACTTTGAAATTGATTTTCCTTTACTTTTTCCTTATCCCTTAGTGTATGTTATGTTTGCCTATAAGTCCTTGTAACATTAAATATTGAATTTTATTTTTCTTAATAAATAAATAAATTTAATTGAAATAGCTTATGCAATTTTTCTTTGGTTTGTTGATTTCAATATAAATTTAATCATATCAATTACTAATAGCAAATTTCAATTAACATAACCTAAAAACATGAAAATTTCACAATATCTTACCAAAGTTTCTATGTGATCCTAGAGTATTATCCATAGACTTATAGTAGCGTGTCATGAAGTTATTTTTCATGCGTATAGTATATTTAAGACTTTCTGGCCAAGTGTTTGATGAGTTCTGTTGACAATATTTTAATTTATTATTTTTAAAGAAAGATAGCTGCTGTTCATTATAAAGAGAAATACTCTATTTCTAATCCTGGTTTTATTCTTGTCATGGAAAATTTTATTAATATGTTCCATATGACTTGAATTGTAGTAGTAGTATCGGACAATATTGTGTTAATCACAATCACCTGTTACAAACTTACCCGTACACTATCAGGAAAAATAATAACAGCATCATCTAAAGATATGGTATCTAAAAAATTTTCAATTTCGGTATCACCTGATATTGGGAAGTATCCACGAAATGCACCATCTAAAATACAAGAGCATATTTTAGAATAACTTTGTTTCCACCCTTTTCTGTCAGGTTTATTCAATGTGTTTTACCCAAAGTGTAGTTTTACTTTCTTAGTAATAATAGTTAAGGTATATAAATATTGAAACTGGACCAGACCCTGAAATACCAGTATTAGGAAAATGGGTATATACATAATAGTATATACAACAAGAAATGGTTATATTACTGGGGTCTAACTAAACATATAGTTTAGAGTAATATTATAAGTAAGAAATAATATATAGTTATAATAACATCAAGTTCATTGCTGTTTATATTATTCTTATTGTATATAACAATATATTATTTTTACCATGTATGTTAGTACATTAAGATTGCACTATTGGTTTACCTTAAGACAAATAAATAAATAAACTATTTAGATAAAGCTATATATATGTTGTTAAGTACTGTTGTCAATAAATAAATAATTAATTTACAACCAACACACATTCACACACCAATTTCTTATCCTAAAGAAGTGACCTCTTTAATTATGCTATTAAATTCAAAATTTTACATTTGTGTAAAATTAAAGTAGGTGATTTGTAGGCATTCACATAGACTTGAGTCTTGTATATATGTGAAGAAATTATTGAGATCTGTGAAATTTTATAGAAATGTAAAAAAATAATTCACATTATTTAACTTTAAATTTTTGTTCTTCTTTCTAAATAAATCCTTTGATTGTAATGTAAGTCATTTAAATACTAAGAATAACATATACATACTACCAATACATCTTAATAATTTGTAATATATAAAAGGGTTTCTCATAAGACTTTTGTTGTTTTTTTAAATTTTACAAAATATACTAGACTTGGAAGATAGAATATGAATGTAATTCTATAGTGTATAGTGAAACTTACATAATTGTTCCTGTTCCTTCAAGCGCAATTTAGCAGCTACTTTTTCCATTAAAAGCTTTGTAAGATCAGTTTCAGGAAAATAATAAATTTTTATTGGTGTCTCTAACTCATTCAGGGGAATTACATCCTGTCAATAAATAATTACACTATAATAACAACCTGCAGATTGTAATCTGTTTGGTAAAAAGATTACCTAGTAAATACATAGTAGTTAGACTTATTGCTATGAGAAAATAGTTTATGGCCATCATAATATGTATTCAAAATTATGACAAATGTTGCTCTTTGGAGCCTGGCCAACAGCAACATCTTGATCAATAGATTTCCAGACCATAGTAAGTCATGTCATAGTACTTATGTGAGAAAGATGAAGGTTTTGTTAACTTAATAAATAACAGAAGTATCCAAGATATTATGCTCTAACTTCAATACAGAATAATACTGAACACCCAGAAAACAATATAGACTTCTATTATGATATAAAATCTAACATTGTAAATTACAAAATTAATCTTTTCAAATAGCATAAAACATAAAAATGAAAAACATGATCTTATCAAGAAAACAAATCTACCCATACTATGATAAAACTGACAAAGTATGGAAAAAATACCATTTTACCTGTACATGTTAGCGAACTTACCGTCTCGTGAATCGTGAAACCCTCAACGCTTTGATGTTTATTCACTGGGTTTAATTGATCTTTAAATACATACAGAACGACGAATAAAACCAGTGGTGACAATACTTCTATCGGAGTCTGGATGTATTTTTTCATGCGGACGATTAAGTGCTTCCACATAAGCACCCCTAAGAAAAACCGCATCTTTATCGATTTATTTAATAAAGTATGTTAATTACAACGTAATGAATCACTTTGTTATATCAAGATCGCGACATTGTTTTGTATTCTCCTATTGTTTGGTTCGTTACACAGCGGCAATGGTTAGATTATATCTTCGTCTATTGAAGATCCATCATCCAAGTAAAGACTAACAAACGAGAAGGCACCACGTATACGAAAAACTATAATTGCTTTTGTTTATTTTAGTTAAACATTAAACGCAACCTACTCCTATGTAACTTGAAGAATTTTGTTTTCTCTAATACAAAATAAACTGTCAACGTCTTTGTGATATCTGTTTTAAATGACAACTCTGCCTGTCAAATAAAAATAAGAACTTTTATAGATACCTAACTTTACAGATAACACAAGATTCAAGATTCTGGAGATGTAAAAAAAAGTGCGGGCGTACAAAGTATACATGTCAGAAGTGAAACTTCTTTTGGCAAACATATTTTTACAAATCTAAAACTTTAGATTTCCGAGACTTAGAGGGAGGTAATAAGGAGGAATTTAATAAATTTTATTATCATTAGAATATTAAGTGTCGAAAATTATATATATATATTTTTTTAATTTAACACAAAACATGTGGCATTTTAATTTGCAATTCGTCATTTGAGATTTCAATAAATTATTTTGCATAAAATATAAAATACTAATATTTCATAAATTCTCTTTACGAAATTATAATTTTAAAAATAGAATTTCTATAAGGTAATTCGCCCTTCTCACTCTCGCTCAATCGGTCTCAATCGCTCTCTTCTTTTCTTCGACAAAAACGCTGCATATTTTCGTGACGTTTTCGTAAAAATTTACCCTCATGCGCCTAAAATTTTTCACGTTAAAAAATGTGCTATTATTATATTTATATATTTTTATACAATCTTGAAAAGGATGCGCTACATGTTTTTCACATACGCAAAGATTATCTAGGCGAACATGTGCGAAAGTGCGTAAGTAGGACTACAAATTAATTATACAGGGTGGCGCAATAGAACGTGCATATTTCGTCATCTTTTTTCGCGGGGTAAACAGTGCGCGAGCTGGGGGAGCCTAGGGTGGTTGGATAGAGGAACTCATGGAGTTTTAGTAACCATGAGTCACTTCGACGGCAAGCGTCGCGCTTTTGTGTTCGCACGTTTTACGAGAACGGTCGTTCATACAAGGCGAATATATTGTTCTGAATATGGAAAACACTATTAAGAAGCTCCGAGTGCAAATTTAATTAAAATATGGATAAAGCGTTTTGAAGAGACCGGTTCCACGTTTAAACCACCATCAAAAGGTCGTCCAAGAACGTCTAGGACCACAGACAACATTGAGAGGGTGAAGAAGTCAGTTGGAAAAAAGCCGCAACTGTCTACTCGGAAGCGATCGGCGGCTTTAAAGTTGTCGCGACGAAGTTTACAGCGAATTTTGAATTGATCTTAAACTCCATCCTTATAAGCTCCAGTTATACATGAATTAAAAGATACCGACTTCCGGAAGGGAGCAAGGTTGGCATTTGCTGAAGAAATGCTTAGTCGATTTTCCAATTTTGACAACTTCCTTTATTCTGACGAGGCTCATTTTCATTTAAATGGGTTCGTAAACCGACAAAATTGTCGCTATTGGAACGCCGAGAATCCAAAAATGAAACATCAAACATCACTGCATAGTCCGAAAGTAACGGTATGGGCGCAATATCGAAAGAATTACTGGCCCTTTCTTCTTTGAAGATTCACGAGGACGAAACGTCACCGTTAACACCGACCGCTATGTCGCGATGTTAGAGGGATATTTGACTCCAGAACTTGGGAGATTAAAAATGGTGAAGACGAGGACTTGTTCCAAAAGACAGAGCGACCTGTCACACATCAAATGACCTTGGCGGTTGTGAGACAGATGTATCCTGCAAGACTAATTCCAAAGAGGTGATATCCCTTGGCCCCCACGTAGCCCTGACTTGACGCCTCCTGACTTTTTTTTTTGGGATACCTCAAACATAAAGTCTACATGAACAATCCGAAGAACATCATCAGGTAAAGGACAATATCCGTGGAGAAATGGCAGCTATCACTCCAGATTTATTGACAAGGGTTTTCACAAATCTGCGTTCGTTTAGAGGAGTGCCGTCTTCGAGAGGGCCATTAGATATTTATTTAAAAAAATAAACTACAGTTAACTACCTAATCATCCTATATTTTATTTCAACTATATGGTCTAAGATCCCGATATACAACGACCTTCACCGAGATGCTTATTTAATGAAACGTATTTTATATTTAATTTAAATGTCAATAGTAAATCCATTGGGTTGCCTAGCTAATTTCAGTCCAGAGTATTTTAATTCATATAAAAAAATTTTTTTAAACATTTCACCGGCCAATCGAAAGTATGAAGCCCATAGAATATGCAAACGTTAGGTTGTTTTTAATCAATTAATTATTTATGTGTATATTTTTATGTGACACTACAGTATATATACATCTTTAGTAAAAAATAAAGTTATAGTGATAATATATAATACTACCCTGAATAAAAATATTGATTGAAAAAAATTAAAAAAATTACTACATGCAAATTATAAAAGATATTTTTTTTTTAAAATATTAATTAAACATACTCTAGACTGAAATTTGCTAGGCAACCCATATGGATTATATTTATTGACATATTAAATTAAATATAAAATACGTTTCATTAAATAAGCATCTCGGTGAAGGTCGTTGTATATCGGGATCTTATACTAATACCTTTTGTATTTATTTTTAACCCATACTTAAAAAATGCACGTTCTATTGCGCCACCCGATATATTAACTGGAAACGTGAAGTAAATTTGTAATAATTTCGCGTTTGTATTCGATTAAAATTTATTAGCTACTACTTATTATTTACTGGTTCAATAACAATTAGTCAATATTTAATAACTGATTTAATGTTTCTTTTTTCACAGAGTTCATGGGGATGCTTTTGTTTTATTTCAAGAGGTTCGTCTGTCCACAGAAACATTTGAATTTTCCTCAAATGATGGGCCATCATCTAAAAATCAGGTAATGCTTCCAAGGATAACAGGGTAAATAAAATAAAAAAAAATTCATATTGTAATATATTTCATGGAACCCGTAGCGTTTCTTAGCTGATTCATATAAATTTATACAAATAGTTTACATATTTCACTAATAAATCAATACTACAATAATTTTTCAGTTCCTAAAAATTACCGTTTAATATATTTTAAGATTAGCTAAATTCGTTACACTTATATAATATTTTGGGATATATTGGCACCATTCTTCAAATCCTCACATTCCTAAATAAATGTTTTTAAGAAACGCTAAAACATAAAAAGTTGAGATTCAATTAGAGAAGAGTTTTAACAGACGTATAAGTATACACCGCAACTTAAAGATAATGATCTGAAAAAATCAGTGAAACTGTTATATCTTAATACACTGGTTATACCCACGGTTGCTAATCAATATTAGATTAAATCGTTAACAGTAAAAAATAAATAGGTCGGAAGAATATAAAAATAAATCTATATAAATACTTATAAACTAAACAACAGCTAACTTTTCTGACGCTGCCTGACAATTTATTCTTTTTACGTAGATAATACAGAACTTCAAACGATTTAAAAAAAATCCATAAACAATTTTTTTGCCACTACAATAGGTTTTTTGCACAGCGGCCAGGCGCAAACGTCAAAAAAGTAGGTGTTCTAAATGAATTAAATACAATGCTTAGTAAAAAGCTACGATGGTGATAAAATAAAAGATTGAGGCCACTATCAGAATTACACAATAACTATAAAACTAACTAAACATACTATCTACAATATAAATACAATACCGTCATAAAACAAACATAATTAACGCAATAATACTTGTTAGTCTGTAAGAAAAACATATTATCTTTTAGATAAAAGGCGTAAGTAATTGTTTAAAATACTGTGCTTGGAATGCGTCATACATTTAATAATTTTTTAAGCAATCTCAGTCGGCATTTTTGGTAAAATTATCAACTGTGATTTTTTTTACATTATCTAGTAGGTGACATATAATAAAACTCATCTTTAATGTACTTTTCACTCCCGTAGCTTGCAAAGCTTACACATATTATCTTAAATCTGAATACACATTATCAAATACAAATTATGATAACATTAAAATTACTAGCAAACATAAATAATTTTATGTCGCTTTAAAGACTAGAATATGTTGAGGATAGAAATCTGGAGGAACTCGATATATCTTTTCGTAATTCATTATAAAACGCTATAATTTGAGGAAAGCATTAGAAGAATCTTAACAAATGGTAAATCAATAATTTATTAGTTTAATATAACTTATGGCGTTTTCGTTGACGGAAACAGCTCTAGATTCTCTATGGTTGTTGACAGCTTTGCGCCATAAGATGGCGCGCGAATTTGTGATGATAGGCGGCAGCATTAGCGTTTTCCGATGAAATCGATCATTAGATCCAGTTCCTCCACCTCGTCCGAGAGGCACAGAGACTCCACACAACCCTTGAAAAAGAGCGTGGTAAAACAATCCGACCTGAAAAGGTAATAAGCTTATTATTACTGCTGTTAAATAGATTAACGCTACGGCGTAGCGAGCTTTTTCAGATATTAGGAGACTAATTTGTTTAGGTGTATTACGTAAACAAGTCCCATAAAAATTTAATAGCAAATATATGTATATTTAAATAATTCACTTGTATCATATGATAAGTGTTTACTTCTTATCGTATTTATCTTTACATCTGAAAATTGAAATAAATGTAAAATCGCAATTTAGAAAGCATTAAACATTTTTTATTCTGTGGTACAAAAAAAATGACTATACATATTTTTTAATAATTAGAGATAGGGAAATCAAAAGTTAGGTGGTTCTACTGTAATAAGGTAGGGAGCCAAGAGGGATTTCGGGATTTACTAAAGCGCGGCAGATTAATATATAGGGGGATACCTTGTACCCGGTTAAGTACCTCCACAAAATATGAGGCCCATATATAAGGCCGCACGTGAAGGAACAGGATCAGTTTAGTAAAAAAAATTGACCATCAGAAATTAGCGGTCTGATTAAGGTAGGGTGAGTTAATTACATCCTAAAAGTGTATATTCCACTAATCTACAATTTGAGAGTGAGGAAAAAAGAGGGCAACAAAGGTGTAAAAAAACTCATCTCGAATTCTGCTACTAATTTTTTTTTATTTTGAAGGAAATAATTCAAAATAATGAAAAATATATAATCTGACATTTCCCAAGCAAATAACAAAAATTGTCGAAAATTAAATGTGAGTGGTGATCCTACATTTCCTTAAACCATCGAATCTACTAAACGGCGTTCTAAATATTTCCCTCAAAATTACATTTTCTGTGAATTTGAACCATTACGATAGATTTTGAAAATTTTAAAAATCTTAAAAAATAAGAAATATTTTTTTAAAGTGGTTTCTTTATCGATCAACTTCAAAAACTAATGCTTTGAGCTTGAAAACCAGTCATCAAAGTGGTAAAAATTTTAAGAATTACAAAAAAACCCAAAAATTTTAATGGGATTACTCAAATTTTTCATCAATTAAAATTAAAATCACTTATGAAATATAAAACGGTGGAGAAAATTTGATCATTAATTATTATTTAAAATAAAATATTTTATAAACTTTATCAACTTTCGACTGGAACTCAAATATAGAAATGTTATTTTGAATAGCGAGCTCAAAATATCAATTTTAAGCGCAGAATAATTAGAATTAGGGATGGCTTTAGGTAATTTTCATTTTTTTTTTCAATCAGGCGAATCCCTCTAGATAATCGTCAATTATAGACAGTACGTTTAGAACATAAAGAGGAACCACATATATCTTAATCTAGTTGATATTTAAAATGATTTTTTGAAATTAAGAAAATGGTGTGGGTTGGTCCCATCAAATCTAAATAATAGATTTTTTGGTGATAAACTTTAAAAATCTACCTCATAATTTTTTTTTTTTTATTTTCAACCCTTAAATACAACCACCCGCATCATGCAAACATCAGATTAACATATGTAATATTAAAAATATAGGGAAATTATCAATATTACTAATAAAAGTTTTTTTACATATTTAACTATCAAGGTTCCCCAAGAAAAAAATTTATCATATAACATTTTTTTTTTTTTATATTATCCAATAGTTAAGTGATAAATCCAGGGAGGTAAAATATAGCGTGCTATTAGAAGATTTAAAATTTTTACATTATTAAGTAAGCAAACAGTATAAAACCGTACCTAAGCCGTAAGTCGTAACAGTAAGTATATACGTAGATAGATCGCAGCGCCCAAGATAAAGATAAAGGAATACTTAGAAAGGAAGACTTTGTGATTTTAAATGGGTATTTGCCCATACACATTTTTATTATACAAGTATCATACAATACTCTTGGAAATTCTTATTTACATATTTCTAGTCAATATCTATACTTAGCATGCATTCCGTCACCAGTGTAATATAGTGTATGTATTAAAAATATAAACTTTTGTAAATGTTAGTGACAGGCAAAAAGATGCAATGTGAAAGAAGTGCTTAGTCATAGACAGAAAGAACTCGTTCCGCAAACCCAAAGAGTGTAGTAGAGCAGATGTTTCTGAAATTTGCAATATTTATTTTAAATCATATTCGATATGATTTCGGTATTTGTATTTTTGACTATTCCTTTTTTAATAAATAATACAAGTTTCAGAAATCCGTAAGCCAAACCCTCCGAAGATAAAATAATCATTTGTTGGTACCTAAATCCCTGGATCTGCCCCATTTAACTGTATTATATATTTCTTGAATATTTCGAGTTGATCGGTCTCTTGAAGTACTTCCACGCAGCCTTTGAAGTAGTCTGTCATAAAACAGTCTTTCCTGCACCCCAACAATTGTTTAATAAATAATTTGTTTTATAACGAGTGTGACCGTTTTTCTGTTTATTTAATAAAATTAAATTTATAACATGCAATTAAGGCTTTTCATACTTTTTTTGTACAATTATTTAAATAAAATTTCTTTCAAGAAATTTAACGTGCATTTATTACATTTATTTCACTTGACATTCGACATGATGCTGTGAGTATCTCTCAAATACGCGTTTAAATCGCTTAACTGAGTTTTATTTAAATGTATATTATTCGCGAACCAAAGAAAATATTATACAGAAACAGTATCGGAAATGACGCAGCATTATGGAAAGCCTTAATGCTGCTGAAAAACATCACAATAAATTTACAGATAAAAAATCTATTTACCTGCATAGAGTATAGAGCTGCGGTTCTCTAAAGAGGTTATAGCAGTCGTCACAGATACGATCTAAGCGCGCGAAAATCGCCGCGTCAAAGACACCTTTGCATTCGAGGCTGAAGAATGACCGGCGAGAGACGTGGTGCGGCGTAGAAGCGGGCACCGCTGCTACAAGAGCCAGCGTCAACGCAGCCGTGCACAGTTGTAACGAGTTAAGATGCAT